GACGAGAGAGAGAGAGAGAGAGAGAGAGAGAGAGAGAGAGAGAGAGGAGCAGAGGCCAAGTGATACCACGACAGCCCAGAAACGGACCTGGTCCGGGGTCATGGCAGGGGTCTGCCCCAAATCATGGGGCCGCCTCGGCGTTTGTGCGCCCCCTCTACCTTTTTTTCGGTTTCCAAGGCGTGTCGCTCTTTGCGCTTCGACAGAGCAGAGGTCTCGTCACTTCGTCTGCCCCTCTCTCTGCTGCCATGTGATGCGTCGCAAATGAGGGCTAGGATGCTGGGCTGGCTACACCTACCCACCTGGGAAATAGCTTGCTCCAATAAGCATCCGTTCCCCCGGATGGCCCGCAAGGGGGGGCAAGCAGCAGCCGGACCAGCAGTGGGAGCCGATGGCTGGCGCGCTGGCACGCTGGGTGGTATGTACGGGGGAGTAAGCGATGGCTGTCTGACAAGGGCCCTGCTATCCGCATCTAGCCTGCGTCTGAAGACATCCCATGTCCACGGCGTATGCACGTTGCCGCTGCTAGTTAGTAGCACTGTTGACTTCTAGCTCCATATATATACGGCCTATATAAGTTCGCCTGCTCCCCTCGTCCACGCTGGTCCTGAGCAAGTCCCCTAGATCCTCGTCCTTCCCCCAAGCAACTTGTTCTTGATTCTTCTTCTCTCTGGCACCGCTGTCTTGTTCTTTTTACAGTTACAACCACCTGCAGATTTGCTGGCCTCCTCCCACAGCCTCGACCGGGAACAGCAGCTCGACAAAAACAACCCACAAAGGCAACCACAAGAAAAGAATATCCCCTACAAAAAGACAACACAACAATGTCGGCTCAGGCATCATCCTCGGTCCCCGAGCGGAGGCTCTCGGGCTTCCTCCAGCTCGCCCCGACCCAGTCGCACTCGAGCCCCTCGCCGCCGACCGCCGAGGCAGGGCTCTCGAGCTTCCTCCAGCTTGTCCCGGCCCAGTCTACCCCGTACTCGCCGTCGGCGGCGGCCACTGAGCGCCGGCTCTCGAGCTTCCTCTCGCTCGCCCCCACCCGGTCGGCTTCGTACCCGCAGGCCCAGAGGTCCCTCCAGCAGGCCAGGACGGCGGCGGCGGCCCCGACGGCGCTCGAGGCCGAGATGTCCAGGCAGCGCCGGAGCTCGAGCCTGAGCAGCGTCGGCTCCAGCGTCGGCGGCCTCCGCTTCCTCAAGCTGGGGCCCGTCCACTGGGGCGAGCACCAGGAGGACCACCAGGGAGACTTTGCCGTCGAGTAAAGTTGGGTGGTGCTACGCAAGAACAACATTGTTTTCTTCCTTTCTTCTTGTCGTTTTTTTCACAAGTCGATACCATGATGGAGCAACAAAAAAACACAGCGTGAAGCACAGATTGTAAGCGAATTTCGCGACAGCGGGCCACTTGTTTTCCCCTTAGGAAGTATTTGCTTTTTATTCTCGGCACTTGCCATGAAAGGGGTGAAGGATGACAGAGTCTTTGCAAGGGCGTCTTGGTTTCTCTTCTTTTCTTTTCCGTCCTCTTTTTTTCGAAAATGACGATCTTCGAGTCCATAACGAAACTGGACCTACAATGGGTTGGGAACACCAGCGCAGCAAACGAAATACATGTTTCCTGCCAACACAGCATGTCTCCCTCCCTCCCTCTCTCTCTTTGTTTCTCTCTGGCTCCCCCGTTCTAACTGCATGGGCTGTGATTTCCCCCACGCTGCAATACGAACTGGGGCGCCACTTGATCCACCCCACCTTTTGCGACTTTGAGGAAAGCATGCTGCAATGCACACCGCTAATGCGAGACAAACACTGAAAAAAAAAAATGAGCGAAATATTGCGTGGGGTTGACAAGCCACAAGCCACCGGCGATGGCCGACGAACCGTGGCCTGGTAAGTTGATCGACCGCGCGGCGCCCCAAAGAGATGTACCAAGACATGTATGGGCGGACGCGCCCGAGCTAAGTCCACCTGGGGATGCCGATCACCTCGAACTCTTGGCAGGGTGGTGCTTTGACTGGGTCAAAGTAAATGCCTCTGGAACCTTTTTTGTGACCGAAACGATATGACGATGCGTGGTGTGGAGGCTCTGAGGAGATTGAGGGTGGGCGGCTGTTTCGCTGGATAGGTAGGATCGAAGGGCCAAGGTCAGATGGCGCGGAGAACATGGAGGTCCCATTAGCCCACGACGCTTGCTCCTTCATGACGTCCCCTTCATCACAACACCGCATAACCCGTTGGCACCCATAATGTCCATACACGACATCGTGTGTCCTGCGCTGTATTCTTGATGCATGCGGATGGAGGGATGTCAAATGAGGTGATTTGTCTCCTGGGCAGAAATGGCAGACCTTGTTAGCCGAGGGAAGCCGTCACTGGGTAGCGAAACCACACCACGTCGGCTCACCCATTCGGCTGGCTTAACGGATTAAAGCAGAAATCCAGAAGAAGAAGAAAATAGAGAGAGGGGAAAAAGTAACCCCCCCAGATACAGATAGCAACACCAACAACAAAAAGGGTGGGAAAACGAGGAGGGGGACAGGCATTTCCCAAACGCGCCTTTCCGGCTGGACTCTCCATATGCGGGCTAGGCGTCGCGTTCGTCTTGCCCTGCCTACCCAAATGGACGTGATGTCAACCAGCAAAGCAGGACAGTCAGTCCCCTTCCCCTCTCGAGCCGCGATACCCCATTGGCAGATCTCCCCCAGCAACAGCCATGCAAGAAGGAAGGGGTGACCTGCACGGCACTGAGACGTGCATCTGCCAAGGAACAGTCCACGCCTGAGAGCCAAGCTCAAGAGGCCCCGGATAGTAACTGATGAAAGGGCCCAGGTGCGCCACAGTGACCAAAGCCCGAAGGGGATAGAAAAGAAGAAAAAAAAAGGGGGTGGGCAGTGTGCCGTGACGAAACCATCCGTGGCTGCAGATGACTCGTACGATTCGGGGGTATTGCCTGGCTGCCACCTACGTCTCTTCTTGTTTTGTTCCGTTTCGTCTAGGCCCTTCATGCCAGCCAACCAGTCAGGCCAGGGTCCAGGGAAACGGAAAGCGGGTAGACGGCACAGGCGGTCGGGTGGAGCGAGCGATCGAGTTTTCCCTTCATCTCGATGACCCGAGGTCAGGGATAGGGATGTGGTCATCTCGGACTGTGGTCGGCCCCACGCCCGACCGCCCTCCCCCGGCGGTCGACCCGCGGCGCGTGGTAGGCCTCTCGGCCTGGCCGCCGCCCCCGGAGATTTGCGTAACCACGGTGCCGCGCGGCACGGGACATGCTCCCCTGGGCGGTGCCGGACGGCGGTGCTTATCCATGTCGTCATGGGCGAGGAAGCAAGGCTAGCCGTCGGTGCTGGTCGAGTTTCAACTCTTCCTCCTTCGGTTTGGGGGTTTGGCCCCATTCGAAAGGCTGGTGTCGAGGGGGGGTTTTGGTGTGTGTGTGTGTGTGTGTGTGTGTGTGTGTGTGTGTGTGTGTGTGTGTGCTGCGAGGGGTTGAGCCAGACAGGTAGGCACTTAGACGAGCACCAGACATGCAGCGCCTCCGTCTCTCGCCCGAGGCGAGCTCTCCCAACGCCCCAATCATCCCTTCATTTCTTGGCATCACGGGTCGGTACCGCCGTCTCGGAACCGCCTCAACTCGAGACCGGGCTGTATTCTACTCTGATCAACCGGTTCCGCGGCCGCAAACGCAGGTTGGCGGCTTAAGCTCATCGTCGCATCGCACCCCGACCACCAGCCCAGAGGCACCGAGTGTGTGATTGGCCCCCAAACAGGGAGATTGGCAGCGAATGGGTTCGGTAACCCCGTGGATGTATAGTCTTTGCCCTCCTATTCCTCGTGCCTGCCGGAGGATATCCTAAAGCGGCCAAGCTTCCGATGTTATTTTTCGTCAACATATCAGCGCCTAAGGACACCCCTCAGCACCCCCAGCAGCTGCCGCCGCCGTACAGATAGAGCTTCAGGCCGAACATGATAGCACCAATGGATCACTCATGGGGGCCTATCACTGATAAAAGGGTTCGTGGTTCGTTGCAGGGGGTCGGATCGAGGAGAGGAGGATCGAAGATCCTGAGCCGTCGAGACGAAACTCCAAAGAAACCCGGGACACGGGTTCCGTGGCATGTTGGTGGGAGCCCTTGCCCCCAGGGTCATTTTAATACTCTTACATGCTATCCGAGCTCGTATGGGCCAACGGAGCGCAGCTTTGTACCTCCGTGCTGAGCTATGTCGGGCTATGTCGAGGGAGAAAGACATTCCGTCGAGCAAGGCGGGGTGGCTGTCCTGAGTGATTTGCGCACAGTAATGGGTCTGTATTTTGCAAGCATAGGCATGCCGCAATGCCTTCGAATTGGGTAGATCGGACCACCGATCGAGAGCATGTTGGCGTGATGCAAAGCGAATACATCAGTATAATACACATTTCACCCAAGCACCTGTTATACGGCCGCGGTCAGAGCAAGAAAGAAAAACGCAGGGTAGATGTGAGTCCTGTTTGGGGGATGGCGGAAGCTTACTTGTATGCCTGATGAAAGCGATGGAAATGCCGTCCTAGCACATGAGCTTCCTACTTGATTCTGCACAGCACAAGACCACCAACCCGCTTCTCCACGGCTTCCCTGGCCTCTAGGACACCGCAGGATGTGCCCACAAACAGCGACTCGCCCATGTAGAGACCCTTGATGTATCCGTGGTCGAACCCCCTGATGAGCTTCTCTAGCCCTGGGAGTTTGCACTGGACGAGCCGGCTCGACTTGCTGATGGGCTCAATGTCCTGCATGACGGGCTTGTTTTCCCAGTACTTGAGCCCGAGCCAGAGCCGGCGCGAGGCGACGTTGGCCGTCGTGACGGGCTCGGCCTCGAACGTGAGCAGGGCCTCGGGCGGGGGCGGGGTCGGGCCGGCGCGGGTAACGGATGATATGAGGCCGGCGCGGTGCAGCGCCATGGCGAATCTGAGGTTGTATTTTGTGTTGGGCACCGACGTGAGGCCGAGGCGCGCCTTGCTGGCGTTCTGCAGGTGCGAGCACATGTTCACTACGCTGAGAATACCCATCCTGGAAGTCGTGGGCCGGGGCCGCTTCTTTTTGTGGTAAACTCGTATCGGCCCTCGCCTTCTCTCCTCCTCGCAACGTCACTGAGGGTGGCGCAAATGCCGAGGCGTGAGGGGGTGTGGTGTCGTCTGGCGCGTGGTTGTTGCCGTTTCTAGGGCCACTGGATCTGCGACTGCAGCCGGCCGTGTGTCCCGGGGAAGGGTCCGGAAGCGGAGGTGTGTCGACGGATCGGGGGGTCGGATCGGGGCGGCTTCTTGCTTGTTCGCTCTCTTGCCTGCTATCCGATCTGTTCTGATAATGTTGGCGGGGAAGATACTAGCTGCGGACGGCGAGGCAATGTGAAGTATGGTATCAATCCTGGGTAGTCAAACCGTTGGAGCCACAGCTCACAGCTGCCCGGCGCCGTTGGTGCATTTGCCCGGATTAAATCCCGGCCGCGCAAGAAAAAAGTTCGGGAGGGCACGGACCTTCTCTCCCGCGGCGCATCGAATTCCATCATTCCACGACCAGTGCGCGGGCTGGAGGGATTGGCGGGCGCTGATTGGCCACAGGACCCCTCCCCGCCTCAGCGCGAGGTGGGGCAGACTGAGGGTAAGCGCCGGGTCCAGAGTCTTGGTGTGACGGCTCAACCAGCTTCCAGCTCTGCTGTGCAGCTTCATCCACCAAACAGCCGGCAGAGCTCTGCCTGTCGCGGCCTGTCGCCGCGCCATACCCGATGCCGCATTGGGCCCTGATTGACGCGCCCCTCATATCACACGGCAAGGGTCAGGGCCAGGGCCAGTTTTTTCTCAAGCCGCTTGCCATGTGCCCTTGCCAGCCGTCGGTATATATGGCCGGGAGGGTCTTTGTAAGCCCCTTGCGCTGCTCGCCTTCTACGAGGAATCTTCATTCCGTCTGCCAATCAAGCACCTCCATCCCTAGCTTCGGCTGACTGGCCCGGGCCTCACTCTTGCAAGTCGCAAGCGTCCTCCCAACCTGCAAGCCAGCCAGGTCTGCTTACGACCGCCCCGCGATTGTTTGCTCCGCCTTTCCGCCGCCATTCTCGCTGTGCCGTCTAGCAACTAGACTTGGCCTGTAATCACAATGGCGTGCAGGCCAGGAGAGGAGAACGTGGCGACACTGTGAGTCTCGCCATTGTCGGCAGCCATCCCCAGGCGAAAGCTCGGATGGCAAGCGAACCACTGCTGGCCTTCGCAATCAAATTGCCAGCCCTCTTCTCCAACGAGAAGGCATCTCGGGCTTGCGTGCTCTCGTCTGACGCCTGTCACCACCCTCACTCGCAGGTTCGGTGACGTACACTATTTCTACGGCGCGCCGACTGAGGACCCGCCCCATCATCGGTTTGAGAAGGGGTCTTATGTCTATCTGTTCGAGAACGCGGCCGAGGGGCGGGCGCGAATTGAGATAGCAAACCGTCCTGGAACCGACGATTTGGACGCCTTTGATGGCTGTAAGCGATCTAGAACTGCACTCTGGGCGCCTACATGCTGACAACCCCCACAGTCCTGGACAGCACAAACGTGCGGTACTCATACAAGCAACAATGCGTCGTCGGCATCACGGTCGGCCAGGTGTCCGACATGGAGCAGTGGCATCTCCCATGGTTCGACCCGCGCAACGAAACAAAGTATCACTACAAGCTCCACTCGCTCGACATCTACTTTTGGACCCCCCAGGATGCCTTGCAGTTCGTCAACGGCATCCGCCGCGTTTTGCCCCCGGCTCAGGTCGACGTCCAGGACGAGCCCGGGCCCCCGCCCCGCCAGCAGCTCCCCCAGGCCCACGACGCCAGCGGCCTGGTCCAGAAGCTCGAAAGCGCCGCAATCTCGTCTGAGAAGGCCCCTGAGCGCGCCAGCAGTGGCTCCGGCGGTGCCCCGTCCTTTGCCGCCCCGCCCCTTTCTGCCGTGTCAGCGGGTGCGACCGAGAACGCCGGCTCACCACTCCCCCCGCCGCCTCCCCCGCCACAGTCCTTTGCTCCGATGGCATATAATCCCGCCGCCCCGGCCGCGCCCGAGGCCATCAAGCACCGCGAGAAGACACCGCCTCCACCCGACGGTGGCATCCACCCGCTGCATCAGACTATAGCCTACGACGCCTCAACCCCATTCTCACCCGGGCTTGCGCCGAGCGGAATGGCGGGGCCCCTCAGCCCGGCAATCCCGCCTCCCCAGTATGGCCACGTCCCTGGGGCGCCCACATTCCCCGGCCCCCCTTCGATGCCGCCCCCGCCCCCGGGTGTAGCCAGCCCGGGCCTGCCCCCAGTCGGCTTCGGCAGCCACCCAGGCCTGGCTCGCGCGCAAACTCTGCCCGTCGCCAGCAGCCCGTATGGCGCCACCTTTCCGGGCAGCCCCGGGTTCGCGCCGCCACAGCCCTTTCCGGGCCTCCAGCAGCAACAGCCGCAGCATCAGCAGAACCCAACTCCTCCTGCCGCCCCAGGAACTCCCGGGTTGCCGCCGCCGCCGCCGGCCCAGGCCCAGACGGCACCTCCTGTCACAGGTGGCGGGGCCCTGGGTATGACCGCCATGGATTACTCGATCCACCAGCAGGCGTACCGCCCCGACGACGGCGAGATGGAGCACAGGTACAAGCAGAAGTCGGATCGGGAGACGAGGAAGCTCGAGAGCAACGCCTACAAGCTCGAGAAGGGCGTCACCAGCATGTTCAAGAAGTTTGAGAAGAAGTTCGGCTGATTCATCCCGGCAATCTACGGCCGGTGCTCTGTATATCCCTATTTGCTGTTTGGAGCCGCTGGTCTCTCGCGTAGACTTCTGGAAAGAGCCACCCGGGTTTTTGGAATGAAGGGAGTAAACAAGTAAAAACGGAAGGACCAAGCGGGGTGATAGCAGAGGAGGTTAAAACAGTGAGGTTGGTGACAATGAGTACCATACTAAGTTGTACTCGAGCATGTAGTTCCCTAAGTGTACACTAGGTCACTATACTCTGGTCGAGCCGTGGACCCCGCCGGGAAGATGGCCTTGTACTTGGAAGCGCTTCACTGCCAACAAACCCAAACTGACGAGAACAAAAGTACGAGATTATGATCAAATAACTCGAACCAGGAAGTTCTGGGGAACAACGACTGCCGGTCCAATATAAACGTAAAACAGGAGAACCGCATGAGATGCAACCCCGCCTGCCGTTTGCGCCTGGTGATGCATGTAACAAAGAACAGTGGCGTAAAGGGGTACCTGGGCAGGCACCTAGATGTGTGACAGACATGATACAAAAGTGAGAAAGAAAAAAGAGTAACCGAGGACAAGATACTAGCCACCATCACCACCCCACTAGCCTTCCATGGTATATCTCTGCCCACTCCAGGCCATGCCATTGCCGAACCCCCGAGCCCTTGTTTATCCATTGCGATCCAGCCTGTTCCTTTAGGGTCTTATCCTTTCATGGCATCTTTGCCTTCTCTTCTGTGCGTCGTACAACCAGCCCCTTCAATACAATAACTGAATATCCTTAGATTATATTGTGGTTTTTTTTTTTCGCTGTATTTTTTTTCCTTATCCTTTTGCGACACGCGCAAGCCTCCCAGTTGTAGATCCTATTAGAATCTATTGGGTTGTGATTGTTCGTTGTTATCTCCCGGCATCGCAGTTGATGGCTCGATAACGATCTGCGGGAGAGTCTGGAAGTTCAAGTTGGGCAGTTGGGGCGAGGTGCTGCTGCTCAAGCTGGTCCTGGTTCGCGGGGCGACCTGACCAGCTGCGCGCTGGGACGAGCGCCGCTCCGGAAGCGGGCCCGGGTAATCGGGGGGAGGCTCGTCGAAGTGTGGAGTGTTTGGGGTGGTGTGTCCTGAGCCGGGATGGCTAACATTGTGGAAGCTTCCAGCGGGATCGTCGTTGAGGCTAACCTCGTCGTAGCCCGGCGGTGCCCTCTGTGAGAGGTAGCCTCCACCCAGATCGGCCTCGGCCGCGTCGATAATTTCGGGGCTGGAGCCAGCGTGAATGGTGCTTGCTGCAGAAAGGCGCCGCGGGCGCGACGAGGCGCGAGAGCGGCGGCTCAGACCTGGCGACAGGCCAGGCGAGTTGCGTGGCGACTGGCCAGGAGATCCCGGCTGGCTGCGGTACGTCTCGACACTGAGGACAGAGCTGCTGCGCGGGCGTCCAGTAGCCTGAGACCTGCGATCTGCGAGGCTGCTTCTGGTGCGGGTGGAGGTGGCGATGCTGAGGGCAGCTATGCTCGCCGTGTCGCTGAGGAGCCCCATCCGCTCGCTCTCGTTGCTATTCGCACGGGCACGCGTGCCGTCGTGACGCACCAGGCCGATCTCGGCGTAACTAACACTGCTGACTGCACGCTGGCGATTCTGCTTGGCCTGGTTCTGCATCTCGCGCAGGGCCTCGATTTCCTCGGTGTTGTTGACGCGCGCAGCGCGGGCCTCATCGCGGACAGCGCGCAAGGCTACCACGTCGTTCCCGGCACGGGCCTGCTCTCGGCGCTGGTTCCGCTGCTCACGCTCGGCGAGCTGGCGGCGCCTAGCCTCACGAATCTGAAAAAGCCCCTCCATCTCCTCATCGCGTAGCGCCTCCTCCTCCTCGGCCGTAGGCAGCTCGACGACGACATCGATGCCATCCCGCTCGCCCTCGACGCCCAGAACCTGCTCTCCTTCGGCGACCTTGGTCCGATATTCGGGAAGCGTCATAACGGAGCGCACTGATGTGTGGCGGTCGATGGTTACCGTGGCGTTGGACGACGATTGCATGGGCACCGTTGTCAGTGTAGCTTCGGACGAGCTCTGGCCGTTGCGCTGGTCTCCCCTGGCACCTGGTGCACCCGGTGCACCCCATCGTCCGTTTCCATCCCCAGCCGGTCGCATATAGCGGGCTGATGATGGCGTCCAGTTTTCCCATATCCTCTTGAGGAAAGGTGTGGGGATGTATTTCGGCTCGGGGTGCCTCACTCGAAGGCTGCGAATATAAATAACGAATAGAGTGAGAAATATGAGACCCGCGATGACCGAAACGATGATCTGAGCGTGGTTGGTAGAGTTCCAGGTCAGCCAGAGGAAAGCAGTATATCGACATGGATAGGAAACCGGGTGCGTACGATGGCAGTTGGAGAGGACAAGACATTACTCTTCCCTTGAGGGTCGTCCTTTCTTGGGTGTATCCTCGACATGGTTTGCAAACTCGGGCGATGGAAAGGCAATGCTGCAAAAGCGGGCGCTGTGTCCGGCTTCCTAAGAAACATTGTAGATATGGGGTCTAGGAACGGGACCAGGAAAAGTGGCGAATAAGCAAGGTTCTCGAGTGTGTGTGCAGGGCGGAGACTGCGGGCGCGTTCGTGTGCGTGCGCGGTCGGGCTCGTGGCCGCGGTGGACGGCCGAGGCTAGCGATTTGATCGCGGGGCGAAATCGCAGTACGGACGGGCGGATTTATAGATGGTGTTGCTGGACACGATACGTTATCGGCGGCGGTTTGGTGGTCGCGGAGTGTGGGCTTGCGTGACAATGGGAGCGCCGGATGGAAGAGGTGAAGCCTTATTACAACGGGCGTGGCTTGCAGGATCGGAAGGGTCGCGAGGGACGTTCGGCGAAGGGGCGCAAAGGGGCAAAAGATTAGGGCTGGGAGGTTGTGTCACAAAGGCCTCAAGCGACAGCGTTGGCGAGAAAGAGCAAAAGCGCAAGCACCAACAGTGGGATGTGGGATGTTGGAATAGAAAAGAATGGCAGATCAGGCTAGGCGAAGGGAACGAACAAGAGGAGCGGGATCTGCTTGATTCCACACAGCCTCTTGGGCGAGTCTGGCCTGGGTGTCGGGCCTGGGTGAAGCTGAGCTGACAGGAGGAAGGCGGCAGCAGACATGACCACCACCAACGACCACGGCGGGCAGGGCAGGGCAGCGGCGGCGACGTCCGCAGCATGCGGCCAGGGGCAGATTCCCCACCGCTGGCGATGCGTGGGCGATGGTTGCGACGGACTAAATTGGGGTGGCAGTGGGTGGGGGGAAGAACTGAACCGGCTGTCACACTTCCACGGCTCCGGCTAGGCCAATCAGCTCCCTTCAGCTGGCGCACGCCCAGAATTGACGAGGGGCGAGGCCAGCGCGAGCAGGGGTTGTGCTGACGGAACATATTCGTACAACCACACGCGCACCACCACTCGCGGTGCAATCCCGGGGCTGGGGGTGTGTGCACCTGCCTCGGTGTGTCCCAGCCCTGCAGCTCGGTGATTCTTTTTATTCTTTCCTCGTAACCTTTATTCCGGTATGGCAAAGAAAGGTAGGTACCTAACCCCAGCTATGTAGGTATCTCTCAATTGGCAATTGGCAATCAGCATATCGAATTTGCGACCGAGGTCGATAATCCAAGTCGCCATTCCATGGCTTTCCCAGGCAGCAGGGCGCAGGCGCCCTTGGAAAGGAAACCCCGCCCCGGGTGGCTGGGGTTACTGCCGCCTGCAGCAAAGATTTGCGGCTTGAAGGATTCGGTCGGCGTCGTGGTCCAATGGGCGCCTGGCAAGCACCCCCCTTGACCGTCTCTCAGTCCGCAGGTGCCCTTGTATGTTTGTAGGGAGTCTTGCTCGACACGAGGGTGCCGGATAAGGGACACGTGCAGTGAAGGGATTTGAATTCCTTGCCCATCTTCCTTTTCGTCATCGACGTGGACCGATAAAGCCCGTGCATCTCGTCGCGACCTTTTGACGGGTGTGCTCCACCCAATTGATGGCTGGCCTCCGATGCTACCGTAGCCTTCATGTTCCACGTTCCCGAACTGCCCGCATGCCCCATCAAGACCCAAGCCTGTCGCTAACCTGCCTCTGGGCTAGGCCCAGGAGCTTGCAGCCGCCCTGCCTGCCCTGCTTCTGTATTTGTGCGCGACGCCGCGCCGCAGCTGGATCCGTGGCTTGGGGCCAAGAACCTCGCCCGAGAGAAGAAGCAACAAAACAAAGGAGCGAGTGCGCAGATCCGAGTCGTGGGCGCCGCCACCGGGAAAACGGCCGAGTGCCGTCCAAGCCACAGCTGGAATCAAATCAGCCCTCACCCATGTCATCACGATGCGATGATGTCGTGTGTGGAATCCAAGGTGCCAGGATACGGGCCTGCCGAGGGAAATTGCTCGGGGCCGTCCCCGGAGTCGTCGCTTCCTGGCATGGGCCTGCACGCAATTGCTGCACGGGCATTTTCGGCGGCCTGGCCTTGGCTGCCTGGACTCGGCCCACAAAGATCTGATTGATGCGAGCAGCCCCTCCAACAAAGCCCTGCTTAGCATTAGCCAACGAGAGAGAATTCAATTGAATCTATCGAAATCCCGCTGAGCTCAGCAGCACTGGACGCCCCCAAACCCCTGACAGGCGCATCGGTGCAAGTGCTGACAATACATCGCGTACCTACATGGCCAAAATGCAAACCTAGCTCGTTCTGTTTCTGCCTGCGAACCAACCGCCACAACCAACAAAAACTGACCAATATCGCCGGCCCCCTAGCCCGTACCAGAAGGCCAATTACGCTGCGCCGCCCAAGGAGGGTCAAGCCCGACCAACATCACTGACCCTGACTCTCCAGCAGCAGTGCCCCGGCAAGAGATCAAGACTCCCACAGACACGCGTGGGCTTGATTGGCTGCCCTAGCGCCGGGAACAGATGCCAAATACCTCACGTCCGTTGGGAGATGAAGAACACCTTCCCGGCCAGTCGTCAACGAGCTAAACCCAAAAAAAAAAAAAAAAAAATAAAGGGTCGAGTCACATTTAGTTGGTATCTCTGTTGCGGGACTGCTCGCGCTGAGCCGCCTGCTCGCGCTCCTCCCGATCAGCTATCAACGCGGCGATGGCCTGCTGTCGCTGCCGCTGCCCGTCCGTCATGGAGGCCGGGACGTAGCAGCACGTGTACCAGCCGGGATAACTGTAGGGGGGCTGCTGCGGAGGCTGTTGCGGTGAGCCCTGTTGCTCTACCGAGTCGCCGCTTCCCGAGGGCTCGGCTGGCTGCACAGGGTTTCCGCCGGACTGTTCCTGGCCGCTCGCCGGATCGATGTTCTGGGCGCTCATTTCAGAATAAGGCTGTAAACAAGGCTATATCTTATAATTCTCGTTGCAGTTATCTGGTGCTGCTGCAAGTGATAGGTAAGGGCACGATGTGTGGGAGGGAAGTGATGCACGCTCCCCATCAAGCAACGCCGATTATAAGGAGCCGTGTCTTTATAGATGGCTATAAACATGCGTACGCGCCCGAGGACGACGTAGATTGTGCGTGACGAGATAGAAGTGTGCTCAAGGACAGTCTGAGCAAGTCGAAGCGTCCTTGTGACTCCAAGGGAGCGAGCGGAAGCTATTCGTCTCAGAGCTACTCGAGACCCAAAAATGGCCGTTCTGGTGGAACCAAGTCACAGAGTATACAGGTCGACGATCAACATTGATAGGCCCATGCGGTAGCGGCATTGTGTCTATTCTAGTGGTGTGGAAACAGGTGACGCTCCTCCAGTTATTTCGGCGCCGGAATCGCTGTGACTTGGAATAACTCTTGCAAGAAAGCCATGTCTGTCGCTGGGCATACCACACCCACGCCCACGAAAGCCACCAGACGCCCATCTAGTCTTCTACACCCACCTAGCCGGCCCGGCCCTGCCCTCCTCGGCAAGCCCGGACGCGCGGTAGACGTCGCCCTCGCGCGCGCCCGTCACGTCGTCCCCTTGGTGCGACGGCGGAGCGGGCTGCTGCTGCCGCTGCTGCTGCTGCTGCTGCTCCTGCTCGCCATGCGTGCCACAGAGGCGGCGCCAGAGGGACGACAGGACGTCCCCCACCAGACCCAGCCTGCGGTCCTCGCCGTCGCCGCCACCCGTCGGCGGTGCCTGGGCCGCGGAGAGCTTTTGCGTGTGGTTGGGCATGGTCAGCTGGAATGCTGCTATTGGGTTGTGGTAGTCCAAGTCAAAGGGGGTCGCTGTGTGGGATTATGACGTTGAGGAGTAGGGCGGAATGCGCTGCCTAGGTAGGTGCCTGCTTAGCTTGTTCTTCTTGACCAACGGAAGAGTCGGTCGGTATATATGCCCGAATTCAAGACTGTTTAATAAAATCATAGCGATCGTGCTTGACGAGGCTTGAGAAATACCTGTATACCTATGTACATATATTGTATCATTGTTCTGGGTGCTCTTTCACAATCGGACTCATTGTGTCTAGGCCTCTTTGTAAGTAGAAGAAAAGGTGATAAATGCCCCATTAAGAAAATCATCAAACCAATCAAGTGGCGGGGGCATTCGGGGGGGGGGGGGGCGGGAACAGTGTCGTCACTCGCAAGGGCCAGCCCACGCCAGCAGCTTGGCATGGCAGGATTATGGTCATATCGGTCGACAAGACTCTAGGTGATCTAAGCGTCACATGGAATTACTTGCTACGTGCAGATGTCAAGTGGGTATCATTTCTAGTCTAATAGACTATCTGTAACGCTGGCTGATTCCACAAAGCGCGGGTGGGTTTGTGCATCGTCAAATGCCCAGCCAGATAATTGTTTGGACACCTGGTAGGGGGCGGCGACAACTGTCGTCTGCTGTGGCCGCATGTCGTGACCGAAGCGGTCCACGTCACCTAGATCGTGGATCTTATTGACGCACAGGAAATCTTGTGCCGCCGGGCAAACGAAGCCGCGCAGGAGAGCTGGTCCGCTCTCTACCGTTATGCCTATATCACCTCGACTTCTGTCGTCGGCTTGCTTTAGATCCCCGTGACGACAGGGATGGTCTCCGACTTATCGAGTCAATCTCTGATGGATCAGACTCCTCCTCGCCCTCCTTCTCGCTGGCATCTCCGTCTTCCCCGTACTCCACCGACTCGTCTCCGCTGTCGTCGTCACTAGAGACGTCCAGCTTTATTATGTCCTCAGCAGCAGCGACATCTTGAGACGTAATAGCATTATCGGCCGCTTCCACTTCCGAATCGGAGTCAGAGTCCGCATCAGGCTCGCTACCACTACCGAAGCCCTCAAACTCATCTTCCGACTCGGTCTCATCATTGCCGCCGGGTGTAGGAGAGGGTGCGTCCATGGAAGTGTCTGCGACGCTTTCAGCGTCGTCTCTCTTCCGTTTCCTTGGCATTTCACCAAGCCTGCCTTCGCGGCCCTCGATGCCGTCTGCAGCATCTCCATCCAGAGGCGGCGGCGGAGTGAACCACGGGATCTTACCCCTCAAGAAGTCGTTCAAAACCATACGAGCAACGCCGTCAACGTCTGGCTCGCCAGCCTTGAGCAACCGGCCGCCCTTGCGAGCCAGAAGCTCAAGGAAATGAATGTGATCTTTCCACCCCTGGAGCTCATACGTCCGCTCCATGTGTCGTTGTTTGGTCTTGGCCAGAACTGCAGGTATGTACTGCTCAGGGTTTTCCACCTTCTCCGTCCTCACCGCGCCTCGCAGAAGAAGGTCCTGAGGCGAGGCGTCATTGCTTGGTGGGACAATACCCGGACAATCGATGAGATACATCCGTTTTGTGAGCGTGATGTACTGCCACACCTTCGTCTCTCCAGGGATGGGTGCCACTGTGGTCACCTTCTTGCCTCGGAGAGCATTGATGAGACTGCTCTTTCCCGTATTGGGATAGCCGACGATCCCAACCGAGACTTGTTTTCTGTTGGAAAGCAGACCCGAGAACTGCCTGAGAAGCCCGAGTAGCGAGCCCTTGCCAAAGGGGTTGGTGATGGAACTCCTGAATGCAGCAGTTGGGTACTCTTTTGAGAGGACGCGAATCCACGATGCCTTGCGTTTCCAGAAATGTCAGCATCATCTCTGGGCCGACAGAGCGAAAGAAGGATACGTAAAAAGCGCGAGTATGGGTGTCGCGGGTGTGTATGATTCATTACTAAGAAATTCCGCAACCAGAAGGCCCTGGAAAGGGCCTCGCAGATTTCAACTCAAAATAAACCAAGACCGAGTCTCATGACAGGTCACCAAGACGGGACCGTCGGCCCCTAATCCGAAAATCAGGAGCTGGCGAGACCGGAATTTGATTTTCCCAATGTGTAACGGAACAACCCCATTGTGCAAGTGAATGCGGAAGGCGTACCTGACTAAACATTGGGGGTATGTGGGTAGAGTGTGGGCAAGGGGAGAAGGGGTGAGGGGCATGGGTAGGCACAGCGTGAGCACTCACCACGACGGAGGTTGGAAGTAGGTCCACCTTGTTTAGAACCAGGATCAGCTTGACGTGCGGCTTCTCTTCCTTCAGGTACTTCTCGACGGCCCGACACCTCGTTCCGAGGGGGTCTCTGGCGTCGAGCACGTGGATGATGACGTCGGAGCTGTCGATGGTGCGGTAGAGCTCGTTCCAGATGCGCTTCGACTGGCCCTTGGTGAAGACGGCCTCCTTAGCAATAGAGACGCCGGGATCGTCCTCGCCGTCTTGCGCAGAGCCGGAAGCGCCGCTCAACAGCTTGATCTGCTCCTGCCTCCCCTTGTATGTGTCCAGGCTCTTGTCGGTGTCCCCGGCCAAGTCCGTGATGGAGCTGACAGAGAGCTTCACCCTCTTCCTTTGCGCCTTGGGCCCGAACGTGGTGGCGAAAGGCGACGTCTCCAGGGTCATCTTGGCCTGGTGCTTTTTGAGCCCGTTGGTTTCGGAGCCATCCCTGATCAAGGACATGGGCAGTTTGTTGGTCTGTGCAAGGCATGGTCAGATGGGCGCTCAACGGGGTCCAGCATGCGGCGAGGGGCGAGGTGCGTACCTTCAGAAGAACCTGGTAGGGATCCTTCTCCGTCTCCGCCACGGCCTCCCTGAAGGCAGTCAGGGTGTCCTGGCTGATGACGCGGGTGTTGGTGAACCATTTCCGGTTCGGCTCGATGACGGCGGTCGGGACGTCTCTGCTCTGGTATGAGGCGGCCTGGGTGATCTTGCCCTCCGCGTTGCGTTGTGGCCTTCCATCTTTGAGGATGTTGACCTGCTTCACCTTTTTTGCATCGCGGTAAAAGTTCTCGCCCTTGACCCTGACATTGGACATGCCATCGCCAACCTTGCCCTGCCGGACTCGGCGAGTCGCCTCCTGTATGATGGGATGGCGTTAGTATGCAGCTTCTTTAGTTAGGGAGCGCACTAGATGAAACTTACCTTCTTTCCGGTCCCCATTGTTCCCAATACTATGTGCAAGCGCGTATTGGGGAGAGAGGAAAGAGAGATGCCTCAATGGGAATGGTACAAGAGAATTGGGAAGCTCAGCGGATTGGGAACCTCGGCGGGCGCGCCTCAAAAGGCTGGCCGAACTTTTTTTTTTCTGACAGACCCCACTACAAGCAGCCCGTCCCCACTGCTTCTCACCGCCCGCATCCCCAGCCATTGTCGCGCAGCGTGGCCAATCAGGTTGCAGATCGTCGAGTCGCCGTGCCTCACTTTGGAAACAATCCGCAGACAGAATTTCAGCACGTAGGGGACAGCTTCGATTCCAGCCCTGAGGCAAGTAAACTGTCGTACCCAAGCACCGACCCCGCTTTCTCCTCCCTACACGACGAGAGGGTGGTTCGGGGAGGAGTTCGATTCGTGTTGAGTTTGTCCTCAGAGGGCACTTGACCCTCCCCCAAAAACAGGCCCAATTGGGTCCCCCCTCCCCCTCCGAATATGCCACCACCACTACCCCTGGGCAGCCAAAGGCTAGCCTTGCGCCCGGCCTCGAGCCTCGTCGCCAGCGTGCCGTTGCGGGCAGCAGCGACGTGCCCAACCACACACTCCAGCAGGACCGGCCCCAGGCAGTTCGGCACGACGCCGGCGCAATGCCGGATCCGCATCCCGCCCGAGTCCCCCAAATTCATCACCGTCCCGGGGGTGGTCCAGCCGAACCGCGAACCCAAGGAGCGCGTGCGGGGCCGCCTGCCCGTGCCCAGGCGGGTGTTTGACCTGCGCAAGCTCACCGCCCCGGGCGACCGGCTGCCGCGCACCACCGCCGGCGCCGGCAGCCGCCGCAAGGAGCCCGGCGTGGACCCGCGCCTGGAGGCCGGCTACGTCGACCGCGCTATGCCGCGCTCCCGGGCCGAGCAGACCGGCAGCCCTCCCCGCTCGTCGCTGGCCGAGTTCCGCCGCACCATGGCCGACAGCCGGCGTGCGGCCCTGGCCGACGGCATCGGCGGCCTGTACGAGCGCCAGAGGCGGCGCGACTCGCTCGCGCGGGCCTCGTCCAACTCCCGGCTCCGGACCCGGCTCGCGGCCGCGCGCGCCCCCGAGCCCGACGACGAGCGCCTGACGAGGCCCACGGTGCGCCGGTCGGTCCTGTCGACCGCCGTCCTGCTCGACCCGAAGCGGTTCGACCGCGCCGCCATGTCGACCGAGCGCACAGCCGCGGTGGCTGCCGCCAAGTCGGAGGCCCGCCGCGACGCGCTGCAGGAGCTCTACATGGCGGCCAAGAACTTCATCGTGTCGGAGGAGGAGCTCGAGCGCCACGTCGAGACCATGTTCCGCCCCACGTACTTCGCCGACGCGCACAAGAGCATCCAACACACCAAGAACCTGTGGGACCTTGACGGCTCGCCCATCACGGTCAAGGAGCTGATGAACCAGTTCGCCAGGGCGAGCAAGGATTCCACACCCGGCACGAGCGAAACTCGCGAGCACGCTCGACAGAAGGCTGTGGCTGAGCAGCTCACTGGCGGCAAGCTGTCAAGTTCATAAAGACCATCCCGTGGAGCAGGGGATGCATGCATCCCTAGCCTTCGAAGTGGACGGGCATGCTTCTCATCAATGTAAATCGCTGTGTCACTCTGCTATCGCCATGTAACAAAACGACCTATTCGTGAACATGCTTCGAAAACTGGTTCGGATTCAGTTCAACCTCATGTTGTGCACCCTTCGAGCTTATCTATCGTAAAGATATGTCGGGGAGTTGCGATTTTCCAACTATATGTTGTGTAGGCACCCATGTATCGAGTAGTGCCCGACGCTCAAAGGCCCTACATGTTGCCAAGTGTAGGTCAAATGTGATGAATATTTACATATGTATTGAAATCTCACAAGGAACTGGTGGTAGGTGGAGCGAGCACAATGGCGCTGGCTGGGGGAAGACTTCAAATGCACGAGATACAAAAGTAGGAGACAAAGAGCAAAATGAGATACATGAATAGCCCAGGTTTCCTCTACCTAGGCCCAGTTATGTTGCATTGTAATAACACCAAACGAGGCTCGGCTGTTGCGGCACCACTCACCGCCTCTCAACAAGGAGGAAGTGCATGGCGGCATAAGCCAGAATGATGAAGATGACACCGAAAACACCTAGGTTGATGACGTCGGCCCACAAGGCGCCGTTGTCGAATCCGAAGGAGCTCAGAATAGCGGCCCCCGGCACGGTAATATCAAGGCCATATTTCTTGTCAATGAGAGTCAAGTGGCTAACTTCATTGACGATGAGCGACTCGAACGCGTAGTGGAAGATCGAGAGCGACTGCAGCCACTTTGCGGCATCTGGAATGGCGTTCTGGTTCAGGAGAAGACCAGCGAACAGAAGACTGAAGAGCATGACAAGGCTACCGAGCAGGTTCGCAACGCCGGGGTCTCTGCAAACAATGCCAATGAAGAGGCAGATGCCAGCCGAGGCAAAGTTGAACAGAACCAGGACGAGGATAAAGGTGAAGTAGTGGGGCGCATCTGGCACGAGGCCGGTCATGGGGTAGATGATGGAGCCCATGAGGATGGGAGGGATGATGCGGAGGGGCACAATGTCGAAGATGATCTTGGCGGCGAAGTAGGTCACGGGTGAGTAGTAACCGTTGGCCCTCTCCCTGACAAACAAGAGCCGCTCGGCAGAGAAGACGCCCAGACTGGTGAGCGTACTGAACCCGAAGAGAGCCAGAACAAAGAAAAACAGGCCGAGCCTGTTCTGGAATCCAGGAATGTCGCTGGTCAGGCCATAGAAAAGGAAGCCAGACAGGACACCGAGCACAATGGCCATGGCGTAGTGCATCAACATCAGCATCGGGTTGCGGTAGAGGTTCTTCCATGTGCGCTGGGACAGAATGATGAACTGGCGGGCATAGCTGATACGGGCGTACCCGCGACCCATGACGCCGACGTTGATGTTGGGCCCGTCCGGGTTGTATCCTGATGAGTGTCGGCCGTTTGCGCTCTCTGCCCCGGCGATAGCCTGTTGAATCTCATCGTGTGTAGTCCCAGCGATGTCCGACTGCACGAAAGAGCCGACGAGGACGTCCAAATCCGTGCCGCCCATAGCCGCTGGTGGAAGGTCATGCAGATCGTCGGCCGCGAGAGGCGAGGAAAGCGTCTGGGGGTGCTTGTGGAGACGGTACGCGCCGATCTCCTCGCCGGCATCAGAGGACGCAGCGGTATCAACCGTGTTCTTGCGTCGCGTGAAGAGCTCCCTCTCCTGGCGTGTCTTGACCGAGTCCCGCCGTTTGCCTTTGGGCCTCGTTGATGACGAGGCCTCGGCGCCACTGTCATCGTTGACGCTACCTCCAGATATGCTCGCAATGGACTTGACGGCACGAGTGCTACTGGGGCCGACACTGCCGGCATCTGCCGAGAGGGAACCGTCGTCGAAGGATGTGGTGGATCCAGCGTGCATAGTCAGGTCAACCAGGTAGTCGGCGATGTTAAAGCCCGGTGGGCAGGCGTAGCCGATCTGGTCAAAGTAGTCCTGGCACTGATGGAAGGGTCCAGAGTACACAGTCTTTCCCTGTGCAAGCAAGACAAGGCGGTCGAAGAGGGCGACAATGTTGGACCTGGGCTGGTGGATGGTGAAGATAACGGTGCGCTTGTACGTCTTGGCCAGGGTCACGAGGCACTCGATGACATTGTAGGCGTTGTAGGCGTCGAGACCGCTGGTAGGCTCGTCGAGGAAGAGGATCGAGGGGCTCGTAACAAGTTCACAAGCGATACCAACTCGCCTCTTCTCTCCGCCCGATACGCCGCGCCCTTTGCCTTCCTCGGAGCCGATGAGCGAATCTCGGATGTGGTAGATTCCCAATTGCTTCTCGACCTCGTGCACCCTCTGCTCCTTGGCGGAGCGGCTCATCTCACGCGGCAGCCGGAGGAGGGCACTGTTCAGAATGGTCTCGTGCACAGTGAGGGTGGGCAACATGGTGTCCTCCTGGTCCACAAAGCCGATGACATTCTTGTAGTCGGTATCGTCGACCTTCTCGCCGTTGACGTAGAAGTCTCCGCCCACAAGGCCGCGCTTGTTCTTGCGAGCGAGTATATCCAGGAAGGTAGTCTTTCCGGCACCGGAAGCACCCATGATAGCCATGATCTCGCCGGGATGGGCCATTCCCTGTATGCCCGAGAGGATCTGTCTGCCATTCAGGCCGTATGCCACGTTTTGGAAGTAGAGGGACGCAGGCTTGTGGTCCGTCATGAGCTTGAGGGCCTCGTCGTCGGAATCATCCAGGTGAATGGGGCCATGTCTGAACTGGCGGCGCGAGAGATACCAGATGGCCAGAATCGCGGCGGCGAGGAACAAGGAGCATATGGCAATGACGCCGGCGATAAGTGGCGTGTTGATCTTTGGCACAGGACGCTGGTAGCCGGGAACTTGAGTGTGGTACATGCACTCGCCCGACCGGCAGGAGAGCGTTATGGTCTTGTCGCCAAAGATGGATTTGATCAGCTCGTTCATGGCAGCCTCGTCGAAATCGCAGTTGTTGATGCCGCCGGATTTCTGAAGGCACTTGAAGGTGGCCGGGCCTTTGATCTCCTGGTCAAGGAACTCTCCAATGTCAACCGACCCATCTTCACCACAGAGGAAACGGCCGGGGATGCAGCTGCACTTGATCTTGTTGCAGTCATATGCGGTGTTATTGCGGGCCTCGTCGAATTCGGCCGTGGACTGGCACTGCTCAAGGTTGCAGTAGAAGGATTCCTTCTGATCGATCCAGACTGCGCGAATCATGTTAGCAAGGCTGGCCTCGCCGCCACGATATCTGGTGATAAAACATACACTGGAAGTCACAAATGCCTGTGGATTGGTCGCAGTCGAAGGTGACCTGGGGCTTGCGGCCACCCAGCATGTCAAGGATCGGTTTGTTGGTCACGTCGCACATCTGGTAGTTACGGTTGACGACGTCGCCCATCTGGTAGCAGACGCCACCTTCGCCCTCCTCCATCAGCGCATTGCAGGCCTTGTTCTCGGTGCAGACATTGCAGTTGATGCCCGTCCACCCCTCGTCGCAGGAGCAGGTGTCACCGCTGCGCATGGGGCGGTCTTTGCCGCGCGCAAGGGAGCCGCAGACTGCACAAGAGATGAAGGTTAATTAATACGAAGCGAACACAGGTATCCATACGCAGAGGTTATAGGGGAATAACTCACGAGGCTCCATGCAGTCCAGGCCACTGTAGCCCTCGGGACACCGACAGGTGCCATCGTATTCGTTGCATTGTCCATACTGGCCGCAAGTGTATGCCGGCAAGAGGCAGTTGAAGCTGTCAAGAGACGGTGGGACATGTTAGCAGCCATCTTGGTAGATAATCCTCCGAGCGCGCCTTGTTGGGTGGGCAATCGCACCATGGCGGGCAGTCCTTGGGCCGGTCGTCCATCAGCGCAAGCTGCGCCCGCATCGAGTCGTAAGAAGTGAAGTTGGCTGAGGCAGACGCCAGCGACGGCAGCAACAATAGCGAGGCTGCGCCTAGCGCGAGCGCATGGAATCGTCTTGGCGGCATCTTTGCGGATGAATGCCGACAGGCGCGATGGCTCGAGCTGTCGGAATTGGTGAGCGCGTCAGGCCGTTGTTCCGTCAGAGTCTAGGAAGACGTGTGGCGGGCCGCGGTCGGCGTGGATGATGTCGACCGCCTGAAAGCACCCCGTAGCCAGGGGGACTATGCAGCCGACCCAGTTAGAAAGCCCCAATCAGGAGCCGGTTTGGGGTAGCGCTAGCGCTGGTCTCCAGGGCCGTCCGTGCCCAGTGGCTTTAGGCGGAGCACAGCGTCGCAAGTGAGGAGACACGACTCAACCACGCTCTTATCGTCCAAAAAGCGTTGGGCTCTGGGCCTGATGCTTCATGAGTCGGATGGTCAGGCAGCGGATGCCTCCAGGGCCCTCGAGCAATTGGTTGGGAGAAAGAATTGGAACAGATAAGCCGCCGCTGCCTGCCTGTCTTCCTGCTGAGAGATTTCTTGCCAGATCGCCTGGAGGGGAAAGGGCGGGACAGTGACGGGCGCACAAGCGAACGTGCGAGCCGCGCCTGGAGTCTAGAGTGGGTGGCAGTGCTCGGCCTGCTGGCTGCCTGGTCTGCCACCCCGATCACTACAGCACCCGCCCCGACCTTGCATCTTTCCCCAGGTCTCCTCCAAGTTGATGACGGCCGCAATGGATCCCAGCAGGGATTAACCCCCGCCCACATCCAACCGAGCAACCGCAACCCAATCACCCGCGCCAGTGAAGGGGCCTCGGCCCAGATGCCTGCAGCATCAAGGCAATGCTGCTCTGCAGCAACTTAAATATGACGTTTCGTTTCTCGGTACCTCGGAACCCAGATGTGGTGGTAGGGACCTCGTTATGAGGTACGTAGGCACTGTACCTTCCTCGCAAGTTCAAATGACACTTTCAGCACATCAGACAACCGTAGATATGGGTGGCTTCGGGCCTTGGCGATGAGCCACGGTCTTCTAGCTCGCTGCCAACACATCTATCAATCCCCTGGCTTGTTCTTCTAAATTTGTTTCTAGCATGTACATTGGACATTGCTTCCTGATGGGTGACTGAATATGGGACGCAGGCAGATACGGGTATATCAAAGCGTGCCACTGAGATGAGATAACTTTGATTCTTGCCCCGCTCATGGTACCTACAAGGCGCGCCCTTACGGACGGGGTCAGTAGGGTCAGTATGTCAACCTCTAGCCACTAGGGCGTCAGAGCTTGAGACCAGGGAATTAATATCATCGCAGGCCACCGTTTATAACGGCTTCAACCGCTGTGTTAAATGCGGCGATTTTCCCGGGGATTTCTGGTTAGTAACGAACGTTGCGCAGTCTCAACACACCACCCACACACGTTCCGCAAATCAGCATCAACCAGCGCCATGGTGCAACTCAAACCATTCGCAGTCGAGCAATGGATGGACAAATATGAGCATACGCCAGGGGTCCTCAACATCGCAGAAACTTGTGCAGCATCCGTCTCGGTTCAGGACCTCGTCGAGCTGTCTTCGGAAAAGGAGACTGGATTAAACCCGCTCGTGACCGCATCCTCCAGGAAGCTGACATACGGAGCCATCCGTGGCTCAGATGCACTTCGCCGTAACGTGGCGTCCCTCTACGGCGCCGCGGACGGTGATGATGAGCTGCCACACGAGAATGTTTTGGTGACAGCTGGGGCCATTTCTGCCAACTTTCTGCTCTTCTATACTTTGATCGGGCCAGGAGACCATGTCATCTGTGTCTACCCTACCTACCAGCAACTATACTCAGTTCCAGAGTCTCTCGGCGCCGAGGTATCGTTGTGGAAGCTGAAGGAGTCGAATGGCTATGTCCCTGACCTGCAGGAGTTGGGCCATTTGGTCAAGACAAACACCAAGGTCTGTTTCAATATGCCGCGCCGCAAGCCGTGGCACTGATGCGATAATGAGTCCATGCCTGTCTGACAACTAGCCACAGCTGATCGTCATCAACAACCCAAATAATCCCAGCGGCGCGCCGATCCCAAAGTCCGTGCTTCAAGGCATCGTGGGGGCCGCCAGGAAGTGGAACATATGGGTGCTTTCCGATGAGGTTTACCGGCCCCTTTTCCACGGCCTAGGTGCAGACGAGGAGCCACCCTCAGCCCTCTCCCTGGGGTACGAGAGGACCATCGTGAGCGGGTCCATGTCCAAAGCCTATGCGCTGGCTGGTATTCGGATTGGATGGCTCGCCTGCAGGAACAACAGCCTCATCGAGTCTCTGGCGTCTGGACGCGACTACACGCTTATCAGTGTTTCGCAGCTGGATGACAGTGTCGCCAGCTTCGCCTTGTCGCCAGCGGTCCGACCGGCTCTCATAAGAAGAAATCTTGACCTGGCACGGAAGAACCTCTCTCTCCTCGAGGCTTTTGTGGACAAACACAGCTCTGCCTGCTCCTGGGTGAAGCCCCTTGCAGGGACAACGGCATTTGTCTTCTTCAGCAAGGATGACGAGTCGATCGACGACGAGAAGTTTTGTATAGACGTGCTGCGAGAGACGGGCGTCATGTTCGTCCCTGGGTCGACGTGTTTTGGGAATGGCAAGGACTTTCGAGGCTTTGTACGGATCGGGTACACGTGCGAGACAGAAGTCCTGGAGAAAGCACTGTTGAGGCTGGGAGACTACCTCGAGAAGAGATTTTGAAGAGGTCAAGCGGTCTAAATCGTGAACGTGTACTTGGTGGGAATAGGATCTGATTTTCGTAGGTAGGTATCTACCTAGTGATATCCATCGGGATATTATACTGCGCGCGTCCTCAACAATGCCTAAAGAGAAACATCCAAACACCAGAGGCCAATAGGAGGGCCCCATTAATGCAAGTCCTGCCCAGACCTCCGGTTGCATATCAAACCGAATGCCAAGCTGGCGCCAGGCTAGGCAGCTGGCCCTACAACCCCAACCCTGACGGCTGGTGTTCGGGAGCTGGGCTCGCCCAAGAAACACCAGCGCGGTCAGGGCATAGCGCAACGGGCAGGCGCAGGGCATGCCGTCGCACTGGCGTCCGGGCCGGGTTTCAATGCGCAGCGGAGTCAAACAAGGTGTGCCGAAGATCCGGCTCGGTTTTTCGCTGGATGGGTTCACGCGACCCATAATTTATATTTCATGACTTGGCCTCGACTCAAACACGTCGATGCCTCCTCTCCACTGGAGGTCGGCATAGCGCCAATCTCGTTCAGTGTGCACGCCGGCGCAACATGGCATGGGCGGCAAGGCCACTGCCCTCCAAGGTCACAAATCAAATCGCCATGGACATGATGCTGCGGGAGTCGCTTCATCCCATCATGGAACCCTCCTACTTCCATGCCGTCGCCTCCAAGACAGTGCCTCGCGGGGGCGGCGAAGGGGCAGCGGTCAGCCAGGGGCGGGTTCCAGGCAGCCTGTGCCCAGCCTGTGCCTCCGAACGCTCCATGCTCTCCAGCCAAATAAGGGCACCCATTTCCAATGGGCACGGCTTGGCTGCTTCCCCAGCGCCGCTTGGCGTCATTTTCGTCCACAAGCGTCTTGGCTTTTCTTGGGTTTCCCATCTGCCTGTCCATCATATTCCGCACAACTCCTCCGGATTGACCTTGTCTTTCCCTTTGCCATGATTGAGCATCCACGACTCTGTTTTCGCTCCGCCTCGCCCTTCGTTTCGAGCGAAAGAAGGCCCAGGTCTGCCATCCACCGATGCGTGCCGCCGCGGCCCAGCCCAACTGCCAGATTTGTCCGTAGCTCCCGCAAGACTGCCCTTGACGGAGCACCGGACTACGACCCGAGCCTGTTAGGCCGCCCGCCCGCCAGCCCGCAGCCTGTGGCCTGGAGACGTCATCACCTCACTTGGCTGTCCACGCGCCTCCAACGTGTCGCATCGCAGCAACCGCGACAGCCCGCGGCGCCGGGCGCCTGTGGGCGAACACTCTTTAGGCCGGGAAAAGTAATCAATCGCGCAAGACGAGGAAGGGAGAACAAGAAAATAGAGAGCAATCCCGGTTGACGACAGCAGAAAAAAAAAAGAAAAAAGGAAAACGCTGCTGCCACTTTGGGGAGAAGGAACCAAAAATGAGGGTATCGCTGGCCGTTGTCTCTGGGTCGCTGCTTGTCGCAGTCTCGCAGGCCGTTGAGGGCGTGGTCCAGTTCGACATTGAGAGGCGACAACTGGAACCCCATCCGAGGCTAGACAGGAGGGCACCAGCGGACACTTTCGAGGAGGTCATCACCAACGACAGGTCAAGAGGCGGCTACTTCTTGACATGCACCGTTGGCAACCCTCCCCAGAACCTGACCCTGCAGCTGGACACCGGCAGTAGCGACATATGGGTGCCTGCTACGTCCGCTTGTAAACCATCGGCCAAGAAACCCAATGGCTGCAGTCTGGGCTCCTGTACGATATTCCCCCCGCCCTGTCTCCCCCTCACCCTACTGGTCGCCCTGCCGAACCAGGATGCCGGAGTCGTCTCTGACCATGAATGCCTGCAATTAGTTACCCCGTCAGACTCGAAAGGGTTCAAGACGGTTGGCAAGGACAGGTTCAGCATACAGTACCTAGACGGGACCCACTCAAAAGGAGGTAAGCGCTCAATGTCGACAACATTCATCCTCCCGGCCCCGACTATAGTGTCGAAGTGAGGAGGCTGACTCGAGCTGTCCCTGCTAGATTACTTCACCGACCGCTTCGCCATCGGCTCGGCTACGGTGGCCAACCTCACCATGGGGTTAGGCCTGGCTGGCGACATCCCGTACGGCCTGGCTGGCATAGGCTACCCCCTAAACGAGGCCATCGTGACGACCAACTCCTCGTCCAGCCCATATCCGAACCTCCCCGCCACCATGTTGGACGACGGCATGATACGGACCAACGCGTACAGCCTGTGGCTTAACGATCTGCAGTCGTCGACCGGGAACATACTGTTTGGGGGCATCGACACGGAGAAGTACAAGGGGAACCTGACACGCATCAAGATCTACGAGGACGGCAAGTCAGGCAACTACACATCCTTCCTTGTCGCTCTGACCTCACTAGAGGCACACAGCAACAGCGGCAAGGACGTTCTGACCTCCAAGACCTTCCCCATCCCTGTTGTCCTGGACTCGGGCACGACGCTCTCGTACCTGCCACAGGACCTGGCCCAACAGACCTGGAGGGAGACGGGCGCGGTCTGGTCTGACGACATGGGACTTGCCATGATTCCGTGCTCGATGCAGAAGAGCAAGGGCATATTCGAGTTCTGGTTTGCGGGTCCCAACGGTCCGAGGATCCAAGTGCAGATGGACGAGCTCGTGCTGGAGATGACCGAGGGCCTCAAGTTCACCGCGGGCGTCTACAAGGGCCAGAAGGCGTGTACGTTTGGGATGCAAAACTTCACGGGCGACCCGTTCATCCTGGGCGACACGTTCCTGCGGTCCGCATACGTCGTCTACGACCTCGTGAACAACGAGGTCGGCATCGCGCCCACCGACTTCAACTCGACCAGCTCCAACATTATCCCCTTCCCGAGCAGCGGCGCCCCGATCCCATCGGCGACCGTGGCCCCCAATCAGGAGCAGGCTACCGTCAAGCCTCTCGTGACATCCCCGGCCTTTGTCGCCCAGATGGGCTTCTACGAAGGCGTGAGCAGGTCGGCAGCGCCGCCCAAGATGTTGGGCCTTGGGTTGCCCCTTTTAGCGGCCGGCGCTGCCCTGACCTTTAGCATGGCCTGGTGATGGACCAGCCTGTTCCGACGCCCTGTCATGTCACGTCCACCGGTGTCGGTCTATTTGCATTGCCCAATGGAGTCTTGGCGTTGGCTTCCGATTTTTTTGCTTCTACTCTGCTTTCCATCACAGATATCTATACCCAAAATAATGGAGCTTTCTTTTCTTTTCAACGAGTGTTATATTACGAAAGTCACGATAGGAGTGCCATATAGGTGGATTCTCCAACGAGAGTACGGGCCTGTTTTTTCTTCTTTTAGATTCGGAGGCAAACATATCCGCTTTATTTGGCCCATGACTCGCAATGCTGCCCGTTCTATCTTATCGGTACCTTGCAGAGTATCAAACTTGATTGCGTTTTCGACAACCTGTGATATTCGGGGTTGATAGCGATGCATAGGCAATGTTCATCAGGTGTCATCTATCACACATGTGGTCAATATTGAGTTGGTTGGAATACATGTGTTGCATGGCCCTGGTGTTGGTGGCATTGGAAGCCTTCGAAGCTTTGGTGGGCCGAAGTCGTGGGTGTGGGGACTGTGGCCAGCAGGGTGTCTCAACATTGGCTAATCAGACCTTGGTTGGCGGCAGGGGTCCAAAAAAATTATCGATTGGTGGTGCGCGCCAAAAAACGAATTGGAGCTGCGGGTGGTGGTGGTTCGTTACTATTCCTAGTATCTGTTTGGTAATTCTTCCCCTCCCTGTGGTATTGTCTTCTCGAGCCCTTTCTTGTTTGTCGTTTAGACAAAATGAGGGTGCCTAGGACAGTGGTAGCAACGCTGGGTCGGCGCCTGCTCGGCTCCGGGCTGGCGGCGCCTGGCCGGACTTACAGCTTGGAGACTGCAGGCCTCAGGGGGGCGCGTCCAGCGTCATTCCGGACCGTGTCACGGCTGGGCTACGGCAGCCGGTGCTTCAGCGGAAGCTCGAGGCTGCGCGCCTTGACGGCCGCGCAGGCTGCGTAAGTGGCGAGGGCGCATCTACCTCTCCCCGCCCCTCGCGCACCAGTCGTTAATGTCTTGCGTGCTGTCTGCTCCCTTCAGACTCAAGCAGGCCCAGGATGCAGCGAAGAGCCTCACGGCAGAGAGCGCGGCCGCCGCCATGACCCCGCAGGAGGCGCTGAGGCTTTCACGAGTGCGCAATATCGGCATTGCGGTACGTCAACGTCAACGGCCGGCATCATGCCGCCTATCCCTGCCCCGGGCGCGGCGGGGGCGGCAGCATCCCGCTCCCGGGCAGCGGCACACCCTCCTGCCTCGAAACAGTTACGCCTTCAGTGTTGGTTCCTCTACTGACGTTGCATGCAACACGCTCTCCAGGCCCACATTGACAGCGGCAAGACCACCGTCACGGAGCGCGTTCTCTTCTATACCGGCCGTATCAAGTCCATACACGAGGTCAGAGGACGGGATGCCGTCGGAGCCAAGATGGACTCGATGGAGCTGGAGCGGGAGCGCGGAATCACCATCCAGTCTGCGGCCACGTTTGCCGACTGGAACAAGAAGGAGGACGGCGAGGATGTCACGTACCACTTCAACCTGATCGACACCCCTGGCCACATCGACTTCACAATCGAGGTCGAGCGTGCGCTGCGGGTTCTCGACGGAGCCGTCATGATCCTGTGCGCCGTCTCGGGCGTGCAGAGTCAGACCATCACGGTCGACAGGCAGATGAAGCGGTACAACGTGCCGCGCATCAGCTTCGTTAACAAGATGGACCGCATGGGCTCCAACCCCTTCAAGGCCGTCGAGCAGATCAACACCAAGCTCAAGATCCCCGCGGCCGCCATCCAGATCCCCATCGGCACCGAGAAGGAATTCGAGGGCGTCGTCGATCTGATCTATATGCGATCCATCCGCACCGAGGGTGCCAGGGGCGTCAACGTCAGGGTGTCCAACTCGGTTCCCGAGGAGCTCAAGGAGCTGGCTGAGCAGAAGCGGCAGGAGCTCATTGAGAAGCTGGCCGACGTCGACGATGAAATAGCAGAGCTCTTCCTCGAGGAGAAGACGCCGACGCCGGAGCAGATCAAGGCGGCGATCCGGAGGGCGACCATCGCGCTAAAGTTCACCCCTGTTATGATGGGCTCCGCTCTCGCCGACAAGTGCATCCAGCCGATGCTTGACGCTGTCTGCGACTACTTGCCAAACCCGTCCGAGGTCGAGAACGTGGCGCTGGACAAGGCCAAGAACGAGGCCGTGACGGCGCTCGTGCCGTACCCGGCCATGCCCTTCGTCGGACTGGCGTTCAAGCTGGAGGAGAACCCTTACGGCCAACTAACGTACATCCGCGTGTACCAGGGCTCCCTGAAGAAGGGGACCAACCTGTTCAACTCGCGGACGGACAAGAAGGTGCGCATTCCGCGCATCGTGCGCATGCACTCCAACGAGATGGAAGACGTGGCCGAGGTCGGCGCCGGCGAGATCTGCGCCGTGTTCGGCGTCGAGTGCGCGTCGGGCGACACCTTCACCGACGGCAACCTGCCATACACCATGTCGTCCATGTTCGTGCCCGACGCTGTCATGTCGCTGTCCATCAAGCCCAAGCGCAGCTCCGACTCGGACAACTTCTCCAAGGCCATGAACCGGTTCCAGCGCGAGGACCCGACCTTCCGGCTGCACGTCGACGACGAGTCCGAGGAGACCATCATCTCGGGCATGGGCGAGCTGCACCTCGAGGTCTACGTCGAGCGCCTGCGTCGCGAGTACAAGGTCGACTGCGAGACGGGCCAGCCGCGCGTAGCGTACCGCGAGACCATCACGCGGCGCGCCGACTTTGACTACCTGCTCAAGCGCCAGACGGGCGGCCCCGGAGACTACGCCCGCGTCGTGGGCTGGATCGAGCCCAACTCGGAGGACGCCGAGAAGAACCAGTTCGAGACGCGCGTCGTGGGCGGCAACATCCCCGACAAGTTCCTCTCGGCCTGCGGCAAGGGCTTCGACGAGATCAGCGCCCGCGGCCCCCTGCTGGGCCACAAGGTGATCGGGACCACCATGGTCATCACCGACGGCGCGACCCACGTGACGGACTCGTCGGACCACGCCTTCAACCAGGCGTCCCAGATGGCCTTCCGCAAGGCCTTCCCCGACGCCGGCGGCCAGGTCCTCGAGCCGCTCATGAAGACCACCATCACGGCCCCGGTCGAGTTCCAGGGCGCCGTGCTCATGCTCATGAACAAGCGCGGCACCATTGTCGACACCGAGGTCGGCGCCGACGACTTCACCCTGGTGGCCGACTGCTCGCTCAACTCCATGTTCGGCTTCAGCACCCACCTCCGCGCCGCCACGCAGGGCAAGGGCGAGTTCAGCATGGAGTTTAGCCACTATGCCGCAGCGCCCATGCACCTACAGTAAGTCCCGTTAGAGGATGACCCTTTTGTTGAAGAATCACGCTAACACACTACGTTTTCCCGCTTACAGAAAGGAGCTTGTTGCCAAGTACGAGGCGGAGCTGGAGGCCAAGAGGACAAAATAAACCAACACGAATGCCTTGCGGCCAGGGGCAAAGCCCCAATCTCAGATGCGTATGTCCACGAGGTATCCGATTGTATAAAACAACAACATGTACAATACAAGTAATAGACATTCTGGGGGAAACGCTGGTCCCGGGGGTAAAAGAAAACAAGGTGGCCTGGCATGCCTTGGAAGGGGAAAACCCCCAGGCTTGATGATCTGATGCCCTTTTGATGATAGCAAAGACAGGCGGGAAAAGAATACACGCAAAAGGACAAGTGGGCCAAAGACTCATTGGTAGATAGTCTGCACACAACATCACAAAAGCATAGAGAAATCCTCGCTCAAAGTCACTTGCATTTCTGCTCTATTGGCTGCCGAGCTGTTTTGACCAAGCCTATCATATCAACCTTTTCCTATAGCCGAGATGTATACCATGGAAGAAAAATCCCAAGCCTTCAACCTTTTCCCCCCCTATACCCATCCCAAACCCCCATATTTTCAAGCACCGTGTTTACAACCTCCTCAGGATGTCCTCGACAACCTCCTCGGTGGTAGCCTTGCCACCCAGGTCCGGGGTCAGCAGCTTGCCCTCCTCGAGGTTAGCGTCGACGGCAGCGTATATCTTGGCGGCGGCGGCCTCCTCGTTGAGGAACTCGAGCATCAGGGCGGCGGAGCGGATGGTGGCGACGGGGTTGGAGATGCCCTTGCCCTCAATGTCCGGGGCGCTGCCGTGGCAGGGCTCGCCGATGGCGAAGCCCTCGCCGACGTTTGCGCTGGGCACGAGGCCGAGCGAGCCGACGAGGGCGGCGGCGCCGTCGGACAGGATGTCGCCGTATAGGTTGGGGGCCACGATGACGTCGTAGTCCTCTGGCTGGCGGAACAGCTTGTACACCATGCTGTCCACGATCTGCTCCTCAACCCTGACGGTGCCCGCGAAGCGCGGGTCCGCGAGGGCCTCCTTGGCCGCCTGGCGGAAGAGGCCGTCGGTCTGGGAGAGCACGTTTGACTTGTGTGTGATGGTGACGAGCGGGCTAGAGTGGATGCTGGCGGCGCCGGCGGCGCGGATCTTCTGGCGGCGCAGGGCGATCTCGCCGGCGATTGTGGCGATGCGGTGCGAGGCGCGGTACGAGATGCGCTTGATGGCCTCGGCGACGAGGCCGTCGTCGGTGTGGATGGTGCGCTCCTCCTTGACGTACAGGTCCTCGGTGTTCTCACGTACGATGACCATGTCGACCGGCCGGGGCCCCGTCAGGACCGACTTGACGGGGCGGACGTTTGCGTAGAGGTCGAGGCGCTTGCGCAGGGCCACGATGGGCGAGCTGTAGCCCTTGACGGGGCTGGTGGGCGAGCTCACGGCGCCGAAGAGGGCGCCGTCGCACTCGGCCTTGAGCGCCGAGACGGTGCGGTCGGGCAGGGCCGCGCCCGTCTCCTCGAACGTCTGGAAGCCGGCCTGCAGGTTGAGGAAGGAGAACTTGAGGCCCAGCGAGGCGGGGAGCGCCTCGAGCACCCGCCGCCCGGCGGGGATGACCTCTTTGCCGATGCCATCACCGGGGATGAGGCCTGTCCAGGCAGACGGTTAGCTGCGCTACCCCGCAAGGACTTCTTGTTCCTTTTTCTTTTCTTGTCTTTTTTTTCTCCTTTCTCCCCTCACTACAGAGCGTATTCCGGAATCGGAGTATGTCATGCCCAGACAACTCCGGGGTCGACAGCGGACTTGCCTATTCTCAGAGCACGGGCAGCCATTGTGCTTTATTGGAGTTGTGTCGCCGCTATCCAGCACGGTCCAATTGGGTTTTAATCGAGCTTCCGGTCTGGCTGGGCCTCGGGGTTTTCGTGCCAGGTTGTGAGGCGGCGGCACATGCGGCAAGGCCCAGGCTCAGACTTTTTGGCCAAGGCTGGCGATTCAGCGTGTGATAACGATAGTGGAGGGCGCTGGCCTGGTCCGGATATCGGAGTCGTGGCTTAGGTTCAATTCCCGTCGCCAGACACTGTCTGGCCTGTGCCCGCTTTTGTGCGCAAAGGTGAAGCGGATGGGACCGAGAAACCCCTGTGTGGCCTGTGTGGGGTGCACAGGGGGGTGTCCCTTGCCCCTGGAGATTGGCTGACATTGCGGGCTGCAGATTGAAGCCCGTCTTCGCGCATCAGCAGCCTTAGGAGATAACTGACAGAGCGGGCATGAGAGCCAAAGGGCAATCTAGGTAAACTAAAGCTCGGAGTCGGCCCCAGATGGGCAAAAGAAACACGGGCGCGGACTGCCGCGTCGCCGCTCAGGGTGTCGGGCCCTGATGGAGAGATGGAGAGATGGAGAGATGGAGAGATGGAAAGATGGAAAGATGGAGATGGAGAGATGGAGAGCCAGGCATGACGCCAGATTCCGAAACAGGGCCTGCATGAGACAGCGAAGTGGTTGCTGCAGCCCAAAAGCTTCTGGAATCAGGGATGTATTGGATCGGGCGGATAGGGCGCGCTACCAGAGTCCAAGGCTGCAGACTTGTCTGATGCAGAATCCTGCTCCTCTTCTGGTTTCGTGGTGACTGCACCCCTTTTTCTCTGTGGCAATTAGCCCCTCCCAAAATACCTATAAGCACAGGATACAGCGGCAATGCCGATTATGCACCAGAATTGACTCTCTGTACAGGCGCCACGCCGTCGCCATGTCACGGAATCCCTCGGTTCGTCCGATGTCGTTGCTGGGCCTGATCGCGACCAGCTCCCACATCCACAGCAACAGAATTACCTGAGGTCGTCCTGTGGATTTCCAACCAGATAGGGCCTGGGCCATTAGCATCTGCCTTGGTCGGCGTAGCTTGTGCTAATGAAAATGCACAGCACAGTGTCGGGTTCCTGTGCGAGGCCCGTCTCCGCAGCGGACAACCGTGCTTGATGGCAAACGATTTCACGGCACGACAGCCCGGATCTCCATGGCCAGCTGTCTTGAAATGGATTCGAGACAACGCCCGCCCTAGCGGGCCATCCCTGCTGGTCTCATTGCCATATGCCGGCCCGGACTCTTCAGCCAACGTTCCGTCCACAGGTGCCCAGACTGCCCACCAGACTGTCCGCAATATCAGGCCAATGTGCCATCCGGAGGAAGTGGATACCGCTGGAGCACGGCAGGACAGGCCCTTGCGCGCCGACTCCAGGGTGCGCTGAGGACCGAGGCAGGAGGAGGGTGAATTTTGTCAGCAGCTGATTCGAGGGGAGCTTCTTAGCTCGTGTGGTCTGGGGAAATGAATACATCTGGTCTCGACTCTTTTCCACATCTTCCAGTGCCACACCACCTCCAGACACACCTACATGGCTCCTCACAACTCCTGGCTAGCGCCGCTGCAGCTTGTTGAATGCGACAAAGACCCGAGCTTCCTCGTATGCCCGTTTGCTCAATTGCCAGAACGAATAGCGTTGGTGGGTTGTGCGGCTTGTTGGATGACGCCGTGCTATTTATAATTTATAACTTATACCACGTCCCTTTACGTACAAAGGCGTGTGAGCCGCCAGTCTGTCGACTTGACCCTGAAGCTGGCCCTAGGCCCCTGAATCCACTCGTCGACCCCCTGGCTGCAGCCGTAATTCGCGGTAGCACATTAAAGAGGACCCTCCTGATTTGGCCACGCCAACCAGAACCAAGAGACGCGCGAGCTGTCGCCCATCCGACCGCACTTTTCCTTCCCCGGCCCTCTGGCTTGGTCCACCAAACGCTTCAAAGCGCCCACGCCCGACTCACAAGGCCACCAGACGTGCAGACCTCCCCATCCCCTTTCGCTCCATCGCCTGCCTGTCTGTCCACCAACCAGCCAGTCCAAAGCGAACACCTACCTAACCTTGCCTGCCTGCCTACCTCCTGCCCACACCGACTGCTTACCTGCCTAACACCACCTACGATCCGTCCTATCTACTATCTCGAGCTGCGTCGTGTCTCCACCCCCTCGCGCGCTTCACACCATCTCGCCCCTAAGCGCTGCAACTCAACTACGAAAGGTTCAACTCGGTGTCGAAAAGGGGGAGCTCCGAGAGCTTCCAGTCGCAGCCCGCGAAGGGAAAGGAAAAAAAAAAAGGGGTCAGCCAAGCTGAGCCCGCGATCGCCGACAAACACACATCCATCGCCCCTCAAAAACGACAACAAACCCCCTCGTCGAGCAGAAAGAGCCATCGAGGCACACACTACCTATTGCGTGCGACGGAGGAACAAAAAAAAAAAACATTAAAAGCCGTCGCGTGGAGCCGCATACGCTTCGCTTGTTTGCACGCCAGAGCAGCCGCAACAGGCAGCCAGGCGAGCTGCGTGCGTGGCAGGAAACACCCAACGTCAAGACCGCACCCACTGGCCGGCCCTCGCCCTGGGAGGCAGCCGCAACCATGAGCAAAGTCGGAAACCTTCGAGCCATGTTCGAGAACAAGGGGGACACGAGCCCTCCGGAGAGAGGCAGGTCTCCGGGACTGTCCTCAGCAGGTAAGAATGGCCCCAGCTCCTGCCCGTTGCAATATCAGGAAAGTTCCTCCCAGGGCCCCCTAGCAGCCTCCATCTCCCACGAGACCCGAAGCAGTTTAGGTGCCCTTTGGAGGCGCTTTGAGGCCTTCAGTCCTTGCCCTCTTGAGCTTTTCCCTCACGCATGTCCTGTTCCTGTTCCTCTTCCTCTACCTCATCTCCTCTCTTCTATTTGTTTGTTCGTCAACACAACACTCCTCACACGAACCATCTTTTCATCATACGCCTCACCCTGTTCGCAGCCTGCATCCCCGTTACCGTTCTCCCACACTCACCTAGCCTGTTTGTCTCTAACACTTATCTCAACTCCAGGTGCCGAGTCCCCTCGCCCACTATCAAAGATACGCACAAACTTCGTTGCCATCGAGAAGGACGGCAGGATAGGCCTGCAAAGAGACCCCAGTTCAGACTCGGTACTGTCTATCTCGAGGAAACCTGACGGCGAAGGCGAAGCATCTACCTCCGTACCCCAAGAAAACACCCCCAGCTTCGCCGATAGGATCAAGAGCATACGCCCGGGTCTTCAAATGGAGACCATCCCGCAATCCCCTCCGCAGGACATGTCTAGCACATTCCCCAGTATCATCCCTACCATCCAGTCGGCGCCTCCGTCTCCGAGCAAGGTTAGCCATACTGAGAACAAGGCTCTGGGAAAGACACCAGCTGCTGAAAGCAAGGATGCGAAGGATGCTTCGCGGTCTGGGACGCCAAAGCCGGCCAAGAAGGATCAAAGTGAGGCTGTGAACGGCAAGACTATCGAGAGAGACAAGGTCAAGCCCGCTTCCAGGGATACTTCCAAGGGCGCTGCTTCCAGCAAGCTCGCTGCCCCCAGGCCTGCCGCGATCAACACATCTAAAACAACGACAAGAGCGCCAGCCAAGTCGCCTAGCAATCTCAAGACACCCACCAGCCCGGTCAAGGGCACAAAGTTGCCCGCAAAGACTCCGGAGAGGAAGACTCTTCACGCCGACAAGACGACAACCCCCAAGGCGACTCCCAAGGCAAAAACGACCGTTTCCAAGACCGCTGGAGCCGCCGAAGTGAGTGCTTCGGCTACCAAGAAGCCTCCCGTTCTTCAGGCATCGCCTGCAGGAAGTATCGACCGTGGCCTTGGCTTCACGAAGCCAAAAGTCAAGTCTCCGACGAGGCCCGTTCCCCTCCCTGCCGGCCTTGCCACTCACACGACTGCCTCGGCAACAAGACAATCGCTCTCGCGGCAGTCTGGAGTCCTGCTGGCTGCTCAGCCGGCTCAGGGGCGTTCTCCCAGCCGTACCAGTGTGTCGACGACCGGCGGTAGCAGCTCTGGCAAGACCCTCAGGAGACAAAGCTCCACCATCAGCCGGCCCCGGCCGAGTCTTGGTCCCCCGCCTAAGCAACAAGCAGTCGACCACCCTGTTACGAAACGAGAGAGGGAGGTTGATGAGGGATTTCTTGCACGTATGATGCGACCTACGCAAGCATCTAGCTCCAAGACCCACGAGAAAGTTATGTCGCCGCCTCGCAAGGCGCCCGGGACATTGCCTGTGCCAAAACGTGCTGTCGGCAAGGACACCACTGCTGAAATCAAGAAGGCACCACCCAAGCCCGACTTTGCTGCGCCCAAGAAGTCAATCCCCAGGCCTACATCCACCAAGTCGGCTTCGAAGACCGTCGAGAAGAAGACCACCGCATCCATCCCTGCCACCGACAAGAAGGCTGCATCCAAGCCAGAGCCCAAGGCCGTCGTCACGCCAGAAGTCGAGAAGGCCGATGCCGACATCGCGAAGCCCGAGACGGCGGAGGAAAAGACTGTCGAGACGGCTGCGCCCGAGCCTGCCGAGGAGACCGCCAAGGATGTCGTCCCCCGGGAGGAGCCAGTAGAGCAGGACAAGGTCGAGCCCGAGCCCGAGGCCAAGCAGCCTGAGGAGTCGGTGGATGCGGCTCCTGCTCCGATCGCGTCTCCGACCGCGGATGCTTCTCTGGAAGAGACGGCCTCGGAGGCTGAGCCTGCTGAGCCCAACACTCCCGCGGATACGGCAGAGGCTCCCCAGGACAATGGCGCAACTGCCCTTGTGACGGACGGAGCGGACACCAAGGTGGTTGAGGAGGAAAAGACGGTGGTCGAGGCGGAGAAGCAGGCGGATAGTATCCCTGTCGCGGAGTGAACATGGTGACGTCCCATATTTTCTTCAAACCTAACATTCTTCCTCTTCTCTTCTTGTCCTTACCACCTCAACCCATCTACCCATTTCCTGTATTCCTCCCCTTTGATTGTACTGTTTAAAAGCTTTCGTGGTTCTTCGAGTACCCTCACACTGGCGATACGGCGTCCCTTTTTTACATAGTGCAGTTTAGTCATTGTGCAGCGAAATCTCACCGGAGAGATCTCGTCTGTGTGAGTTACCAGATTCAATAACAACTTGTGATTTGTCTCTTGCCTTGTACGTTCCTAATAGCGTGGTTGCCTGTGTGGAGCATTGCTTGTGAGGCTGCCGCGAAGAAACTGGGGTTTTGGGGTGGAGGGGTGAAGAAGCGAAAAAAAAAAAAAGCATGTGGTTCAAACTCAGGTCCTCTCGACTGCTTGGTTTCCACTTCCCACAAGCCACGCGTACGTCTGGTACATCTCTGACGGACCCAAACACTTCAAGGAGGTCCAACGGAAAATACGGCGCGCAGAACCTGGCCAAATGCACATTCGTCCTGAAGCGCTCCCACACGGCGAGGACGGCCTCATGTTTGTCTCAGAGCTTGGGGAGCCACAGCCGCCCCCGCCCCACGCGGCAAGTCCAGGCCCCTTGGATGACGTCTTCGGCGGCGACGACGACGAGCGAGATGAGCCTCTCGCGGACCGGCAGCCCCAAAGCCACCCCTCGGACATGCGCCGGCTCCAGGCGGAGCACTCGACGGCGGGGTACCGCGACGGCGTCACCGCCGCCAAGGCCGCCAGCGTACAGGCCGGCTTCGACGAGGGGTTCGGCCTCGGCGCCGCGCTAGGCCTGAGGGCCGGCGAGCTGCTGGGCGTGCTCGAGGGGCTGGCCGCGGCTACGTCTTCCCCCGGTGCTGGAGGCTACAGCGGCCACGCCGCGAGGCTCGGCGGGCTGCTCGACGCCGCGAGGGACGAGCTGTCGCCCCGGGCCATCTTCGGGAGCACGTACTGGGCGCCCGACGGCACGTGGGTCTATCCCGTCGCGGCCGTGGCCGCTGCCGAGGACGGCGGCGGCGGGGACCACGAAGACGTCCTGTTCGAGGACGTGGTCGAGGCGCACCCCCTCGTGGCGAAGTGGAGGGCCGTCGTGCAGGAGGAGATGGAGCGCTGGGGGATCGACAAGGGCGCCCTGTTCCGCTACGAGGCCAACACGGGCGACGGTGGGGGCGACGGCGACGACAGTGCTGCCGCCGGAGACAGGACTGCAAAAGCCCATGCACAGATTCCCAAGACGCCGTCAACGACGGCGCTGCCAAAGATGGCGGGCGCGTTACAGTGGTGAATATCTACTTTGCCAAGCTTCTCCACCACCCGAGCCAGGCTCACCGTCCCGGCGAACATCTCCCGCCTCGGCTCTTATCGCGTCGATCCAGACGACGAACACACGAGGGCCCGACTTCAGCCTCGCAAGCCCAGTACTGTATGTCTCGCTCGGCTGAGCCAAACGGCCTTTCCCAGGTCTGGTGATTCCTGTATCTTTGGCGGCGTTTCGTGCTAATCACCACTACTACGGACGCAGTGCATTACACACGCGCTGGAACCAGGCAGCCCCGCTACTGACTAGCTGGCATTGGCTTTGAGCCATCAGGAAATACCTGGCGCATGGTATACCCGGTCATGCTCCGCGAAAAGTCCGACCTCGCAAACCACAAGGCGCAATTTGCTTCCACCAACCCAAACGGTAGACGCATTTATAATTCTAGAATGGTGGCTTCGAAATCGTGAGGAAGACGACTATAAAGTCATCCTACTCATAACGCCCAACCAAATAACTGGCCAAACTGATGACGCCATCACCGCTTCTCCTCACCTCGCCCCAACCGCATGTCTACCACGGGCATCTTTCTACCTCGTTCTCGGCCATCCGAAAAAGCTCGCACTCACGACAGCGGGATCTGATTCCCTCCTCGGCACTATGATAGACCAGACGACCGTCCCCGAAAAAGCGATTCCTGAAAAATCAGCCATCGGGGCTGCAGACGGCACGGGGTCGTCCACCAGAGAAAGCTCCATCAGTCCTGTCCCGGCGCACGATGAGGGCGCAGCGCCGGCCGGCGCGGCAAAGGAGGGGCGCTCCCACCGCGAATCAGATGTGGATTCTATCCCAGATGGGGGGATGGTGGCATGGCTGCAAGTACTCGGGTCGTGGGTCATATTGGTCGATACCTGGGGGCTGGTGAACAGTTTTGGAGTCTTCCAAACCCATTACAAGTCCACGATGCTGCCCTCGACCAGCTCCTCGTCCATATCATGGATAGGGTCTCTCCAGGCCTCCTTGATGATGCTTGTGGGGGTCGTATCAGGCCCTCTCTACGACATGGGCTACTTCCGTGTGCTCATCGGCACCGGGCTCTTCCTCATCATCCTGGGCCAGTTTTTGCTCTCCGTCTGCACCACGTACTGGCAGGTCCTCCTGGCACAAGGCATCATGACGGGAATTGGCATGGGTCTTACGTTTTTGCCATCGACCACAATCCTGGCTCAGTACTTCCACCGCAAGCGCGCGCTCGTCCTGGGCATCTCGTCGACGGGCTCGCCGATCGCGGGGACTGTTATACCTATACTGTTCTCGCGCCTCGAGCCGCGCATCGGGTTCGGTTGGACCGTCCGGACGCTGGCGTTCATCCTGCTGGCCGTGTCGGTGATACCGCTGGCGTGCATGCGCACGCGCGTGGCGCCCGCCCCGCGGCGGCGGCGCTTCTTCGACCCCACGGCGGTCCGCGACGCCGCCTTCATGACGCACGCGCTGGCCGCCTTCTGTGCCTTCGCCGTCATGTACGTGCCCTACTTCTACCTGCAGCTCTTCGCGCAGACGCACGGGCTCGCGGGTCCGGACCTGTCGCCCTACGTGGTCACCATGCTCAACGCCGGCAGCATCGTCGGGCGCGTGCTGCCAAACTACCTGGCGGACCGGGTGGGCAGCGTCAACGTGGTGGCGGCCTGCGGCGTGGCGGCCTCGGCTCTGGTGCTGGGCTGGTTCGGCGTGCGCGACCTGGCCGGCCTCGCGGCCTTTGCGGTCCTGTACGGCCTCTTCTCGGGCGGCATCGTGAGCGTCACCCCGAGCGTGCTCATGGCGCTCACGCCGGATCCGGGTCGCGTGGGCGCACGTATCGGCATGGCCTTCTCGTGCACGGGCGTCGCCATCCTGATCGGCACGCCCATAGCCGGCGCCGTCGTGGGCGACTTTAGCGACGCGCGCTGGCGCGCCGTCGTCGGGTTCTCGTCGGGCGGCCTGCTGGCCGCCACGGCGCTGTATCTCATATGCCGGTTTCTGCTGTACCGGTCCAACGGGAAGTGGAAGGCGTGATCCTGCGGGTTGGTTAAGCAGATTTGACAGCAGGGTGTTTAAAAGCCTGTTCTGTTGTGTGTACACGGACGGCGCTGGTAAATAGCAACTATGATCGTCACGATTCCCTGGTTGAATGATACTGGGCGTTGTTGATGGACGGTTTGTTTAATTGGTTAGGAGGTAGGTTCGCGCCATTAACAAGCCCTACGACGAATATCAATCTCGTCATCGACCATCAAACTCCCGCGCCGCCAGGTGCATCACCACCAATCAGACACCACACACGGGCACAAGTGGTAACGCCTCTCGGAATATTTCGAGATAAGATTCTTCTGGACATGGGCAGGCCGATTCTTGACAGCCTGTCAGCCCGTCAACCTCCCAAATTGCTGACTGACGGCTTAAGGACCAGACGAACAGACAAGGGGCACGATTATCCAATGCGAAAACAAAAACCATTTGTCAACCACGACAAATTCTGAGCCGGCGGTCTGGGGCAGAACTGGTGGTGGGGAAACAAAGCTGATTCCACATCACTTATTCAGCACACCCGCAGGCGTCGGCTAGCCGCTTTGGGGATAGGGCAGTAGGAGAAGGGGGAAGCTCCCAGCTCCGTCCAGTACATACCCCGCCTTGCACCATCCCGACTTGGGCAGCAGGAGGGGCAATGTGGGGTGGGCTCAGAGCTCCTGTTCTCCAGCTCCAGTGTGAGCCCCTCTATCTGGGTCGCATACTGTATGTACAGCAGGGGCAGCCAAGGACCTTGCTGTCCAAGTGGGTAGCGGCAGGCGATGATGCGAACCGATCCAAAGTTGAGCAGGTGGAGTTTTGTCGATCGTGAGAGGAGCGTTTCGTGAAGTCAAGTCGCCAGTGTGTTGGATCCGGCAGTCCAAAACGTCTTGCTTGGACTACTACTACCTGCCCATGCTTCCGACCCCCGGATAGAGGCCGGCTGGTGAGACGAGGAGAGAAAAAAAACGCCGACCCGCGCTAGTCGACGGGGCCACGCGCGATGCCGCCTCTCGCTCGACCGCCCGTGCTATTATTAAGACGTGATTAATCGCTAACCACGCTAACTCGCCGAAGCGGCCGATTGCCCCGCCAGCAAAGCACAACACCAGTTTCCTCCCAGCCCGCCATCGGTCATGGCCACGATTCCATGGGTACCCACCACCCTTTTTGTTTCTGGCCCATAGCAGCACAGCACGTCTGCCAGACAGCAAAGGTGGCCAATGATGCCTGCCTTCTCCGCCGGCCAGGGATAAGGTCTAGGAGTCGAGCTCTCCAGGTGGAGATGTTGCGGAACGCAATGCGGCAGATACCACCCTCCACCCGCTGGCCCAGGCCTGTCTGGGCAGTCACCTACCTAGGTGCCTGACAGATAGCTAGGTAGGGGTAGCTGGGGGGTTGGATATGGAGATAGAGGGAGGTGTGTATGCTGTCAGAGCTCGGGATATGTCGAGGTTGGGGGCCGGCTTGAAGGATAAATATCTGTCCTCCCCCTCTCTTCTCCACGCATACCACCATCCCTCAACAGCAGTCCATATTCACCCCTAAGACACTTACCCACACACAACCTGCCTTGCGCAACCGTCACCATGGCTCCCAAGATCGCTATCGTCTTCGTAAGTTGACCTCCAGCAAAGCTCGTCGCCGCCTACCGCCCATCGGGCAATCTCACTCTGTGGACCTGTGAACCTGGATCGTGATGCAAAGGGCAAAATAGGGTTTCGTGTCCTAACCAACAAACTTATTACTTCCAGTACTCGATGTACGGCCACATCAAGCAGCTGGCCGATGCTGAGAAGGCCGGTATTGAGAAGGCCGGCGGTACTGCCGACCTGTTCCAGTAAGTGCCACACCATCCCCTAGAAGGGACAGGGTCGCGAGTTGGCCAGAATGACTGAAGCTGACTTTGTGCTTTTTCTCAACAGGATCGAGGAGACTCTTTCCGAGCAGGTCCTCGGTAAGATGCACGCCCCGGCCAAGAGCGACGTTACTGTCCTCTCGGACCCCGCGACCCTCGAGGGATACGACGGCTTCCTGTTCGGCATCCCGACCCGCTACGGCAACTTCCCGGCCCAGTGGAAGGCCTTCATCGACAAGACGGGCGGCCAGTGGCAGAAGGGCGGTTTCGCCGGCAAGTACGGCGGCTTCTTCATCTCGACGGCCTCGCAGGGTGGCGGCCAGGAGGCCACGGCCATCGCCGCCATGTCGACCTTTGCCCACCACGGCATCATCTACGTGCCCCTGGGCTACGCCAAGGCCTTTGCCATCCAGACGGACCTGACCGAGGTCCGCGGCGGCTCCCCCTGGGGCGCCGGCACCTTCGCCGGCGGCGACGGCTCGCGCCAGCCCTCGGAGAAGGAGCTGGAGCTCGCCAGGATCCAGGGCGAGACCTTCTACCAGACCGTCGCCAAGGCCAGCTCATAACTCCATGGCAGCGAGCCCGAGAAGAATGGGGAGGGGAAGGCAGTGGAGGCGCAGGCCAAGGCCGAGGCCACGCCCGCCAACACGCCGAGGATGAAGGAGACGTCCAAGGACGAAGAGGGCGGCCCCTGCGGGCTGCCGACCAAGTGCACGGTCATCTAAATTATGATTAACAGCGTACATGATATGATAGATACCATTGTTTGAACGACGGTCGATGTCTGCACAGTGTTGTGTCTCGGTTTTTCTCCTTTGCAACTTCCATGTCACATTCGTCTCTGTGCTGCTCAAAGTAGCCGTGTGCTCTAGGGAAGGTCCTGCGCGACCGCCAATGTCCCCTTCCTTGGACATGGCGGTCATCGATTTCCGCTCCAAGGCCTTGTCGTTGTATCCGTGGAGGCGAGGTGCAACATCCGAGCTGAGAATCCCGGAAGCGTCGAGCGACGACTCTCTTGTGCACGGCATTTATCTACGTAAGTAGCCATCGGTAACAACGACCACCATCATCTCGGGGAGACTGACGATAGGTACGATACGTCTTTTTGTCTTTTTTTTTCTGATCCAGGGCCGGGCGAGACATGTGCTGCGATATTGATACATGCCCTCGGCTCTTGTGGCCCCGTGTTGAACCTTTGTGCACTATCAGCCCCTGATTTATCGTGGTAGGGAGGGGTGCACGGGACAGGATACAGATCGGTGCGTTGGTACCAAGGGGTCTTTGTAGGACTCGGACGTCCTGCCGCCTTCTTGACTGCTCAGTCTCATTTATATACATACTTGCCCCCATGCTCTCCATTGGGGATTGCTGAGCCAGCAAGTCTAGAGGCTAGCCCCTGGCTCTCTCTCTCTCTCTCTCTCTCTCTCTCTCTCTCTCTCTCTCTCTCTCTCTCTCTCTCTCTCTTTTCTCTATCCTCTCGGACCTTTACGGACTGAAGTTTCCCCTGCAAGGCCCAACACACACACACACACACACACACACACACAAAAACACCTCCTCTGTTTTCCCACACGGACCTCAAAATCCCACATGTACCCCCCGGGCGCGTGCCGGGCGCCGGCGGCCAGGAGCATGGCCGCCGCCGCCCCGGGGCTCTGCTGCGGCAACCCCCGGAGGGCGATGCAGCTGCTCTGGCTGGCGGCGGGCTTCTTGTTCACCCTGGCCCTGGTCCGGTCCTTGGGTGGCACTCTCCGCCACAGCCACCACCCCGCCGCGACAAGGACGTGGATGGCCGGCCGCGTGCAGGGCCTCGTCGGCGGCGGTGGCGGCGGCGGTGGCGGCGGCGGCGGCCGGCTAAGCATGGCGGAGCACATGCGCGCCGCCGAGAGGGCCTGGGGCAAGACGGTCAGACAGCGACACGAGCTCATACGCAAGGACTTTGGGGACGTGGACAAGGTGCCGCTGTGAGTTTTTTTCTTTCTTTTTTTGTACTTTTTTTTGTTCTTTCGTGTCCCGGCATCAACAAAGCATTCTCACCATATAGCCATCACGCAACAGATACGCCGCGGTCGACGGGCCGTCATACGACGCAACGCCCTACACGATATGGGACCTCGCGCCGGCCTCGTACGGCTGCCCGCACGAGATGGAGCGCGTCGGGCGCATGGGCGACGGCGGCAAGTGGGTGTGCGGCATGTCGCGGTACGAGCGTCTGTCGCGGGCCCGCGGCTGCGTCGTCTACTCGTTTGGGGTCCGGGACGAGTCCAGCTTTGGTGCGCTCTTGTGCCCCTTCTCCCGTTCCCATCTCGCCCTTGGGGCCGCGCGTGTGTGTGTGAACCGGCCGGCGCTGGCTTTCTGACCACCCCGGAGCTTTCAAGAAAACGAACTCTTGTCCCGCACAAACTGCAGCGTCTGGGCCTACGACTTCGCCGTCGTCGACTTCGGGCAGCAGCTCGAGGACGGGAACCGGCCGCGCGCGCACTTTATGCAGGCCGGGGTCGCGGACCAGACCAACACGAGCAAGAGCCCGCCTTTCTACAGCCTGGCCGACCTGATGAGGATGAATGGCCACGACTACATGTAAGGGATAGGTCCTCCCTCCCTTCCTTCCTTCCTCCTTTCGGCCCTTCTCGACGGCAAGCGGACAAAAGGGGGCCGATGCGGTCCGTGTGGTGCACGAGAAGATGCTAACGGACGGCGCCAACCCCCCGCCCGGCCAAAGCGACATACTGAAGATGGACATTGAGTTCTTCGAGTACGAGACCATGAACGGGCTGGACAGGGACTTTCCCTTGGCGGCCGGCCACGAGTTTCCGGTCGGGCAGTTCATGGTTGAGCTGCATCTGCTCAACGACATGACGGCCAAAACGTTTCTTGAGTGGTAGGTCGAGCAAGATGCGGTGAGCCCTTTGCTTTTTGGTTTTCTTTTTTTGCGCCGATCACTAACAGGGAACGTCTGCGTCACTAAAATGATAGGTGGGAGCGTCTCGAGGGCCGCGGCATACGCGCGACGTGGACCGAACCCAACCTGCTGGGCGTCACGCTCGGGATCGGGGGCAACAGAGACCCGAACCTGGCAGAGTATACCATGATCAACGTGCACGACCGGAGAAGCGTCGTCCTTGGCGGCTAGAAAGGGCTAGAAAGGGCTGCTGGTGGGTTTTGCACTTTTGTGGCATCCTTTTTTGGTCTTTTCAGTTTTACCAGCGGACCTCGCTCTCACCCTGTCCATGTTCGCTGCCTTTGTAAAAATAAAAAAATAAAAATAAAAAAAAAGGTGGCATTGCCAATGCGAAATGTCAAAGCCGAGCCTGCAGTGCTGGCGGATTGTGGGCCCACGGGTCAGTGTGAGCGGTGCACTGGCGGCCAGTCGGTTGCCTGATTTGGGGCACGCGCCCCACCGAATGGACGTTGTGCCTGGGCCGTATGCACCTATGCAAATGCCCTGTGTGGGGCCTCGTGATATTTCCGACCCCCAGCGAGCCTGCGTGGATGCAAGTGAAATATTTTGCCAGCGTCCCATGTCCTGTCCGACCGAAACAAAGACCCCTGAGAGGCCCCTTTTGGATGGCAGTGCGGCACGGGATGGCAGCACGCATCGAACGGTTGGAGAAACATCGGATTGCGTTCTGGGGGTGACTGACCTGAAAACGGGCAGGGGGGCGACGGAGAGACATTCACCGAAAAGAAATCAATAATAATAATAATAATAATAATAATAATAATAATAATAATAAACGGCATCCCATCCACCCATCCGTCCATCCGTCCATCCATCCAAAGCCGCGGGTGCCCTTTGGGGTGCCGACGGGACCGGCTCGTGGTGCCGTGAGCGGCACAGTTGCTTAGAACTGGGCAGTAAAATGCTCCACATGCATGCATGCAGTCAGGAGTGTTAGCATCAGATGACGTAGGCGACAAACAGTGCCGTTCCTTTGGGCCCACTTGCAGTCATTGAGTGTAGAAAACAACATATTTTAACGAGTGATACAACCACTTGATACAAGGAAAATAAAAGACATTGAAAAAAGCCACACAGGACACGATCCCTCGGCTAGCTGGTGGTCGGTGTTACGTGTGCGCGTGGCGTTGCCGTTGAGCGATGGCGCCATACTGTGAGGAGTGCTGGGGTGGCTGGCTCCAGGACTTGGGGAGTGACGTCGAGGCTTGGGGACGAGGGTGCGCGCCGGATCAAACGTACAAACACGGAGACAAACAGCCGAGAAGAAGCTGCGTCAGCCTGGGCTGGCGGTATGCACCGTTGAGTACCTAGGTATAGGTAGGTAGTGAATAGCGCACGAAGAAAGGTGCCGGATGGAGAGACGAGATGTCAGGCTTGGCGGCAGCCAAGGCAAAAAGCCGAGAGGGAAGGCGTTTGAGAGGATGAAGGATCCAAAGCACATGCGCACTTCCACACTCATGTCCATGGTCATGTCCATGGTCATGTCCATGGAATAGACAGACTAAGCCGTCCGCGGCCAATCACTAGACGCCATCCTGCTGGCTGTACAGTAGGGACCGCCCCCCTGGCCATGATGTGACCGAGGGTGTGCTGGGCAGGTGACTACGTGTGCCTCTCTCGCTCCGCGTAGGCAGAGGAAACGCATAGTATATGTACGTATGCCTCTCTGTATGGACATTCACTTGAGTGTTCTTGCTAGCCTCCCTTTGACCAGCAACCCATTCCCCACTACCAAGAAACCAAGCGGGCAGCCAGTCCTGGGAGGAGATCCCGGGTCAGTACCGAGCACGCCAAAGGCCCTTGTTGGCAGTTTCTTTTTTTGTTGTTGATAGGTCCACTTTGTCCGAGCCAGTTCTTGCCAGGGCCAGTGCCAGGACCAGGCCACATCCTGATTTGTTTCTCGAACCGGGCGCAGCAGAAGCAACGCGCTCGCGCACGCCCCCAAGCAAGAAGAAACGGGACGCCCCCCTCCGGGGATAGGGATGGGCTCCAGTGGGTTGACTACTAGTAAAAGGATCTCCCCGTCGATCGAGCCAGGGCGGGAGGGGACGATAGATATTTTCTCGTCTTTGTGTGTGCAGTGCTTCGAGCCCTGCACCCCGCCGCAGAGATGATGATGGCTTCTCACAGTAAGTCCTCTAAAGAGAGACGTGCCTCTACAATCGGCTCTTTTTTCTCCCATCGTTTCTCTACCTCTTCTGTGCCCACGCTCGACTCTACCCGGAACCCGTACGGACTGGACGGCGACGACGAGAAACGCAGCGGCAAGATTCGAAAGCGACCGGAGGGCGAGGCGCTGCTGCTGAAGCGGGCTGAGACGGATCGCCTTCCTCAGCGAGGACGTCCCCTGTCGGTGTTTGCTGCAGACTACCATGCGCGCCATTACCACGACCGCGACCCGTGGCACAGGGCCACGCCAGGCGAAGACCACCAGGCTCAGGCCCAGGCTCAGCAGACCCAGGCCTGCAACCACCTGGGGCTCGACAAAAACGACAGCCCGCCGCCAACGCCACAACAGCAACCACAACAGCAACCACAACAGCAGCAACAGCAACAACAGCAACAACAGCCGCGGCCGCACAGATCGCAACGGCTGCAAAAACGGCCAGGACCTGAGCCAGTGCTCGGAGACGGCCGCCGCGGATCCGACCACCATGGCGCTAGGATTGGGAGCCGGAAATCACGGTCGGACGATCGGCGCTCGGCAGACCCCATCAGGCACTCGGCGCCGTCGCTCAGGTCTTTGCTCTTCTCCAAGAACGTCACTAAGCCTGCTGTTGCCGCAGCACCAGAATCGGGCTCTGCCCTGCTTGCTTCTTCGCCAGCGCAGAGCCAGCAGAGCCAGCACCAGCAGAGCCAGCAGAGCCAGCAGAGCCAGCAGCCCAGAAGCCCCGAACGAGGCGTGCCAATTCGCCGCAAGCCTGTCCCCACCGGCAGGCCCCTATCGTTCCACAGCAGCCGCGACGCCCAGCTGGAGTCACAGCAGGCCACACCGTCGAATCCCGCAGCTGTCGCCCAAGACCATCAAGCTCCACGCACCGCCTTCTCCCCGACCACGACGGCCCCCTTCTCGCCCGTGCACATCCGCGCCGTCGAGCCCCAGAACGACACTGACGGCGTCGAGCCGTACATCTTCCTCAACCAGCAGCAGCAGCCGGACCCATACCACTACCTCCAGCAGGACCCCTACCCAGACCACCACCAGCCTGGCCAGGCCCACCAGCCGTACGACCAGCTCCAGAACCAGCTCCAGAACCAGCTCCAGAACCAGCACCACCGTCAACCGTCCGAGCTCGAGCAGCTGCCACCAACGGACGCAATGCCAAACCTTATTATCAAATCCCACTCGACCGAACTCTTGAGCCCGCCGCCTCCTCCGCCGCCGCCCAAGGAGTTGCCGCCGCCGGTACCTCCACTGCCCAAGCAGCTCCCGGCAAATGTGCCGCCCCCACCCACCCAGCATCCGCCGCCGCCGCCGCCACCACCGCCTCCCGACAACGGCGCCGCCGCCCCGCCTTCCCGCCGGGGGTCCCTGCCCTTCTTCAAACCAACGCAGCAGCACGATGCCGCCGCATCGCCCGCCGACTCGCCCCAGTCACGCAAACTACAGTCTCGCCGCGTCTCGCCCTCCCCCGAGGCCAGGCCCAGGGGCAGGAGCGTCGGCGCCCACTCGCGCACAAACACCCTGACCAAGGCCTCGCCGCACCATGTCGACGCGCCCCCGCTGCCCATCGTCAGGCGTTCCAGCAGACCTCCCTCCCCGACGCACTCGAGCGACGGCGGTGCGCACAGCCCAGCCCGCGGCAGGGTTCGCAAGAGCTGGTTCCACGGCGGCCGCTTGCGCAACGGCTCCAACGACAAGAAGGATGCCGCCGCCAAAAGCCAGGCATGGATCTTCACCACCGACACGCAGAGCCCCACGGCCGATTACAACCCTATCTTCCTGAACAACGGCGAGAAGGTGAGTGCCTGCCAACCTAGGCATCTATCCCTAGTGACCGCGGGTGAGCACCTTTCACCCCGTCATGTTCCGTTGCTGACCGGTTCGTTTTTCCCTCACTACAGGTCCCCGAGCTGTGGAACGAGGCGGGTGACGTCGTCGTCCACCTCTTCCCCAGGGCCAGCGGGCGCGGCCCTTCTTTCAGGGTGCCGGGCATGATCTTTGTCTACTCTGCCGTTTTTGACGACATGTTGCAGGCCCAGGCTACGACTTCGCCCGTCAGCTCGCGTGGCAGGACCAATAGTTTCAGCGGCCGCAACAGCCTGACGGCCGACGACGCGCGCCGTTCCATCGTGTCGACTACCAGCACGCACTCGGCGGGCGATAGCTTCGCTGAGCTGCACCTGTACGTGGCTGATTCACCGACGTTAAGCCCTGCCGACAAGGAGGCGCCGCCGACGCCGGAGCGCTTGATGGACATGCGCAATCTGGTGGCCTTCCTGACGGGCCAGCCGCTGGCGGGGACGCCGACGCACCCTACCGTCTTTGCCGTGCTGCTCCGCATCGCTGGCCTCCTGCGCGAGTTTGAGTTCCGGAGCCACGATGGGCAGTCGTTCGGCAACGCCGTCGACCTCAGCTTCAGCTTCTACTCGGACCAGATGCAGCTGGCCGACGTGCGCGAGAGCCGCGAGAAGACGGTCGAGGCCCTGGTTCTGGGCGAGCAGATGCGTTCGTGGGAGATCTACAACGAGGCCTTCACACACGCCGTCGGTAAGTACGACGCCGTGAAGGAGCTCAAGTCGCCCCTATTCGCCCAGCTCTCGCCCAGCACCGCCCAGCGCCTCGAGCGCGAGCACCTCGACCTGCTCAACCGCCAGCACAGCGTCAACACCCGTCTCGAGAACTTCGACTTCCCCGCCGTCTTTGCTGGCGTGGCCAACTCCACGTCCAACTCGGAGTTCAAGACGGTGCGCTTCAAGGCCTGGCGCGCCAGCTTCTCGAGCATGCGCAGCTTCGTGCTCAAGCACTACAAGTCCGAGTTTGGCGGCTGGCCCCCCAAGGCCCGCAGCAAGAAGAACCCCTTCTCCGAGAGCGGGCTCAACCGCCAGGTGCTCCGCCAGCTGTATTCGGACCTATGTGCCCTGTACGACCTCCTCGTCGACCGCCGTGCCCTCTCGACCCGCATCGTCGAGCAGGAAGAGACCCCTGACGCCCGCGATCCCAATCTCGTCGCCCTGCGGAAGCTGCTGTCCGAGTTTGACAACTCGTCGCCGCCTGTGCTGCCCGCCGTGCCCTTCGACGTGCCGACACTGCCGTCCATGACCTCCATCCTCGCCACGTACCACGACATGGCGCCCAAGGATCAGGCCCGCTTCGACAAGCGCATCCAGATCAACGAGCTGCTGCTCGTCATGCAGAAGTCGTACGACTTCGACACGGGCAGCATCCGCCTGCCCTTTCTCGACGCCTTCAAGGACTTTGAGCTCAAGGAGGCCCGCGGCAAGTCGGCCCTCGACCTGGTCGACATTCGCATCGGCATCTGGATCTTCCTATACGTCGTCATCCAGTCGCTGCCCATCCTCGCCGTCGACGCCCCCGGCCTGCGCTACACAGAGGGCGTCGAGTACTTCCTGTGCCAGGCGCCCCAGGGCACCCCGCCGTGGATGGAGGACGCCATGGAGGTACGCAAGCGCTGGTTCGAGGCCGCCAACGGCTCAAAGGTCCAGCTCGCCGCCGACACCGTCATGTTCTCCATCGAGGCCGTCTATGGCCGCTCGCACTGTTGGATCGCCGCAAAGAACTGGGAGGCCGCCCTGCGGCGCGCCTCGACCGGTGGCCCCGGGAGCTCGGGCGACCGTAGCCCGCCCCTCCGGGTCCAGCGCGCCCCCTCGGTGGCGCCTCGGCTGCCCCCTTTCATGTCGCCGCTCGAGCCGCCCCGGTCCGTCTTCGCGAGCATGGACCCCCACGGGGCCTCGTCGCCTACCATGGGCACGGGCACGCCTGGCTCTGTCGCCTCGTCCACGAGCCTGGGCACGCCCGTCACCACCCTCCGCCCGCGAAACCAGTCGCCCGCGAGCCAGCGTTCCGTAAGCGCCGGCTACCGCTCCTCCATCGTCGGCCTCGAGCCCGTTGACCCCCCGTTCGAGCAGCCCCCGCCTCAGTCGGGCGCCTTCCCCTACCACCTCGGAGGTGCCAGCGCCAGCGGCGAGCAGCTGGCACTCCCTTCGGCACCGTACCAGCAGGGCCACATGGCCCGCAGCCATTCGGCCGGCAACCTCAAGCTGCTGATCAACCCAGCTGGTGGCCCTGGAGCACCGGGCCCCAACACCGGGACGCCCGGAGGCGCCCACTCGCGCAATAGCCCCGGCCCGTCTCACATGCGGACGGGCAGTAATCTGGCCCCGGCCGGAGGTGGCGGCGGCGGCGGCGGCGGCGGAATGTCATTTGACGACATTCTAAAAGGCATGGACGACCAAAAGGTTAAGAAGAAGAAGGGCTGGTTGCCTGGGAGCTGAAGGAGGCGCGTCCTCGGTTTCTTGCCTTCTTCCACGCCCATCGGATGCTTCAAAATCCTGTCAGCTCATTATATCTTCGCATCCTACTTCTTTTATCGGGGTTCCCCCTTGCGCCTTCTTGTTCTGATCCTTCATTTGAACTTCGCCCGGTCTTGGGGTCATCGGGCGAGAAATAAAAAAGTATCTTATCTTTTCCTCGTTTTCATATCTCTGTTCGATCTGTATCCAACGTCAAAATAACTACATCAGCAAATTTGGCCACAAAAAGACCGAGAAGCGGCTCGGGTTATTTCTTTTTTTTTCTTTTTTTCATTTTTTCATTTTTCATTTTTCATTTTTCATTTTTCATTCATTTTTCATTTTTTCATTTTTTCATTTTTTCATTTTTTCATTTTTTCATTTTTTCATTTTTTCATTTTTTCATTTTTTCATTTTTTCATTTTTTCATTTTTTCATTTTTTCATTTTTTCATTTTTTCATTTTTTCATTTTTCATTTTTTTTTCACTCGTTACAATCTTATAGATCAGGGTCATACCATTTTCGGGGAATGTTTGTGTCGTGGGGTCAGAATCAGACACATTGGTACATACGCACAACTTATATGGTTTGGATTTAGCTATTTAATAATGAATGACTGACTGACGGACGACGTGGGCGGATGCGTGGCTGGAGGGTTTTAAACCCCTCCCGGATTGTTGATGATGCCTCCCTGCGTCAAGTCTTGGGCCCCCTCCATTATGGCTAGACTTGTAGTGGCGAAACGATACACCAAGCCGTAGTGATAACTTTTCCCGAAGAAAAGAAAAGGTCATTCCCGAGAGCATCGGTGGGGACTGGAATGAGTTTAGATAGCTCAAGACCCTGCAGGAGAGAACACTTCAATATTACTTCTCGACAATCTATCTTCCATCTGGCATGCCATCAAGGTCTCGCACCCGAAAGAATGATCACCCATCTGTCTCCCCAGTGTCTCGCAAAGCTAGCACAGCAGGTACCCGCGCAGGTTGTTGGCTCCCTGCAGACACATCCCTTCGATCCGACCAAGACTCGGAACTGAAACCCTCCATTCAAAGCTAGGTACCATCATCAAATACGAAAAGCCCCTGCCAGGGGTTGCTGGGCCATTGACAAAGTACAGTAGATAGATATCATCTGGTGTCTCACCAAAAGCAACAAAATGGGGGAAAGTAAAATTCGGGATGACGCAGTCCACAGCCACAACAGGGAAGCCGCTCCAGGCTAAACCCCTAGCCGTCACTCAAGCTCAGATCAAAATGCTGGATGGGCTCTCCCCACCTCGGCAAGTCGAACTCGGAAGCCGGTGCCTGGACTTCGGAGCTGGCGACGCCCATGTAAAGACCCGCGACGGCCGAAGGGTCTACGGCAGCGCCGCTGGCGAGAATGACGCGGTAGCGCATCTTGCCCCTCAGATAGGGCTCGGCGGCCGCTACCTCAAGGCTGCTGAGCTCGCCCGCGACGACCCTGCTCGTCAGGAACGACGTCAGGGGTATCGTGCCCGAGACCAGGTTGCTAGTTTGTCGGCCTCCATCCATGACGGGCGAGGCAAAGATGCTCAGGGTGCCGACGAGGTTCTGAGCCGACACCCACAGGTCGGCGTCGGCCGGCGGGTCTCCGCCAAAGACGTGGATGAAGTAGGTTCCCCCGAGAGCCTGCTTCTCGGCCCGGACGTTGATGACCCAGTCGCGGTAGGCCTTGCCGCCCCTGAGGACCGTCCCTGGTGACGGGTCTGGGGAGTCAGAGTCCCACCAGGCATTGGCTTTTGGTGCTGGCACCGTTGCCGCGCGCGGGCGCGCCGCTTCCCTCCTGCTCCGGGGAGCTGAGAACCTGAGGCGAGCCGGGCTCGAGTCCCCGTACAGCTTGTTGATGGCCGCCTTGACCCGCCCCTGGGCCGAGGCTCCGGGCGGCTGTGACCCCGGTAGAAGCTTGAATATCTGCCCTACCGTGTCGGCGTAGTTGTAGTTGAAGATTGTCGGGTCCCGGACCATGTTCGAGTCCCAAAACAGGCCGTTATCGGTGGCGTAGAAGGGAGTGAGAGCTGTGTTGGAGTCCACCATCTGGCCGGCCAGCGTCGTGTACGACGCCATCCGCGCAGGTTGCGGGGTGATCCACGACTCCGGGTGGATGGTCTGCCACATGGCGAAGAGGCGGTCGAGGTTGGTGTGGTGTAGCCAGAACAGGGGGTCGAAGGACGAGAAAGGTATGTAGGTCATGTGCCCGCCTAGCCCCCCGAGCGAGTGGATGGCGTCGTGGACCGACTCGATCGAGTCGTGCTTGATGTCGCCCTTGGAGTACCACGCCTCGTTGCTGAAGGCAGAGTAGTTGCCGTAGCTCGAGAAGAGCGCATACACGCGCTGCTGTATCGTGGCGTGGTTCTGGTCGAGCGCCATGGCAACCTTGGTGTTGTTGGACAGCGCTTGAGGGGTATTGCTGCTCGGAGACCTCAGCGTCGCGCCCCAGAAATCCCACTGCGAGAGGCGGCATGCCGCTGTCAGTATAGAGATCGACGTACAAAGGAACCCCTCGCGGCGTCGGCAACGCCGTCGGCTCAACTCACCGGCGCCATCCAGAAGGCCGACGCATTGAGCGGGCGGAACGAGTACATGTACAGGGGGTTCGAGATGCGCTGTACCCCGTTGGGACCTGCGACATCGATCCAGGGGCTGCCGCCGACGGAGAGGGGTAGCAGGCTCTCGCCGCTAGGCGGGTTGCTTGCCCAGTCCCAATAAGGGATGCGGAAATCGGCGGCGGCAGCCTGGAACCGCTTCCTCGTGCCGTCGTCCTTGAACCAGGAGGCTATGCTTTGAATGTCGTCGTAGAGGATTTGCTGCATGTCAGGTCGTCAGCAACGGGCACCAATGCCTACCATTGAAACTCTTCACTACCCGGCAGAACCGTGTGCTTGGCACAAGGAACCATCTTTGTGTCTCCCCCAATATCGCGCCACTCGTCTCGCTGCTGAGACAGTCTAGGTTGGTACCTGCATCTTACCTCGTACAAGGCAAGGTAGGGTCGATGCCAGGTGGGGAAGAGGATAGACTCGTGAGTGCAATATCCTGTGTTCTCGCTCCCCGGTGCCGGCTTGACGCCGTTCCAGGGCATGAAGGGGACGCCGTGAATCCCTGCGACGAGGTCAGTTTGGCTCAGAGAGATCGGAGCAGGGAGGGGCCGAGTGCCGCGTCCGCGTACCAGCGATCGAGTACCACGAGAGCGGGTCATCCTGGTCCTTGAATGCCATCATGCTAAGACCCAGAATGTAGAGCGTCCACTTCTCTTTGTCCTTTTCCAGATTCCGGATCTCGGGGCGGAGAGGCATGACGGTGCTGTTTGGCCTGCCTGCTCCCTTCACCACGAACAGTTCCTGGGGGTCCTGCCGCTTGACCAAGGGGGCTGTGTCGAACCCATAGTCGTAGCCGGTAGCATGGTGAGGGCTTGTCGCCGCCGGGAGAACCAGGCTGCCGATGTAAATGGCGGACAGGAGGATGCTCCGTGTGAGATGACTCATCCTGGTGTGTCGGCCGGTGGCGGAGTGAGTGAGCAAGTGAGTGAGCTGGCTGGTATGGCCTCAGGGTAGAGGAATCTCAAATACTCGCGCTGATGACCCTCAATGCTCCAGCCAGTCGTGGTTGGTGTCAAGGATATGCCGTGGCTGGAGGGAGCCGGAGGGTAATAAGGCTAGCAGTCCTGCAGCACCGCGAGAGACGACAGCTCCAGGTAAGCGGTACAAGGTGGTCGGGAACGGCGAGGCAATACCGTCGAGGCTTCGGCTTCTGCTGCCACTAGTCTTGTCCAACGAGTGCTCCGTGGTGTCGCCTGCAAGGGCAAAGAATGTGTCGGCTCTTGTAGACGCGGGTACTCGTCAAACAACAAACAAGAAGAAGGCAGCAGCAGAGCACCTGTAAGACCTGGTCTGGGCGAGGGCAGTGTCTGGTCTGCCTGTATCACCGGGCGACTGGATGTGGCCCGCCGAGCTAGGCTGTTGTTTGCCTGTGAAGCGTGGCAGTGGCGATGGGGTCTGGTCATGATGGGAGCACCCAAGACACGGCTGTACCTGCCAGCAAGCCCCGGGTGCGCGTGTGCTCTTGGCTTGGCCGACGCCGACATTTCATGGCCCGTCGTGGGAGATAGCCGGGCCGCCTCCAGACGCGCCTGCCTCGAGTAGTAACGCTGGAGTCATCCATTGCGTGGGTACCACCTACCTCGCACCTAGCCATGACCAGAATGGGAAATCACACAAACGCCGCAATCGTCTGAGATGTCTTCGCCTTTCGGGCAGCTCTCGCGACACTCCCGCTTCGCCGTCATTTCCAGGTACCATGGCCCATCTCCTCAAAGCACCTATCCGAAGGCAGACCTGGTCCGTAATCAAATCTCGGAGCCGATTCCTAGGATTTGGACGGCTGCCTGCATTGTTGATTGCCATTCATGTCTGAGATCTCTCCTTGCTTTCTATCTCCATTTTCCCGTCCGTGTTATTGTTCTTTGATGGAGGATCTGGGGCACGTAGAAGTCTACCCGTGCCCCGCCGCTTGTCTTGCTTTACCTCGCTCTGTCCCCTTCCCTAGGTTCTGGCTGGCCTGGCTGTCGGTTTTCATCGGAATCTTATCGCGGGTAATTATCATGCAGAAAAGCGGTAGCTGGCTCCGGATCTCGTAGAGAGTACACCCCAGCTCCCAGCTTGGGTAGCCTGGCACCCTGCCCAAAAAAAAGTCCGGACGGTAAATTTTTTCCCCCACCCAAACTTTACCTTTCCCAACATAATTGCACCAGCACCAAAGCCAAACAATATGCCCGCGCCGCATTTTACACCTAAAAAACACGCGTTTAAGGAATTTGTAATTATTTTAATGCAAAAAGCATTACTTACATCCACAATAACGTTTTTCGCTTTGCAAAAATATCGAAAATTTCCGGGTGGGAAATTTTAGCTTAAAATTGCAATTTTAACTTTCGAACTTTCCATTTAAATTACAAAAAAATACGCGGCCGAAAGCGTTTATTTTTTAAACCCGATATTTAAAAAATAAAACAAGCAATTATTAATAACGGGTAAAACGGCTGGAACTTCGATTAGGCCGCTTTCCTGATGTCAGGGGTTAATCGGTGCAGAGGCGGGTGGTCACCGGGTCACGGGCCGGATGCGGTGTCTCCTTTGTCAGGTCTCCGTAAATCTCCTACCAAAGGTGCTATCGCCAACAAAGATTGTTCCTTCTCTGACCTCCCCCTCCCTCGTGCCCCTTCGGGCACCCGGGGTCGGTCCTTTAAGTCCTCCGCGCTCCAGGCGCCTTCGTGCAATTTAAGCTTTACCCTATCTTTTAGCTTCGCCATTATGCTT